AAGAATAGGTTTTCCAGAAAGGAAATTGTCTCAAGATTCCAACATCAACTCCTGGCTGAATTTCCAGCCTGCTGGCCTGCCCTACCGATTTTAGACTTGCCAGCCCTTACAACCACATGAGTCAATTCCTTAAAATTAATCTTTTAATATATATTTCTTATTGGTTTTCTTTCTATGGAAAATCCTGACCGATACAATGACATGTATGCACTCGAGTAATAGCTAAAAGTTTTTTTTTTTTAAGATTTTATTTATTTATTTGACAGAGAGAGAGACAGCTAGAGAGGGAACACAAGCAGGGGGAGTGGAAGAGGGAGAAGCAGGCTTCCCGCCGAGCAGGGAGCCTGATGCGGGGCTCGATCCCAGGACCCTTGGATCATGACCTGAGCCGAAGGCAGACGCTTAACGACTGAGCCACCCAGGCGCCCCATAGCTAAAAGTTTTTAAGCTGGAAATTCAGAACCATTCAATCTGGATGAGCCAGATCCGGACTCCTTCCACCTTGGGGCTTCTATCTTCAACTAAGGATTTCCAAGGTCGTTGCCCAGAAGGAAAGAACATGGAGGATCACAAGTGGGAGGAGGTCTGGAAGGGAGAGCAAACTGGGAAGGGCACACACCACTTTTTCCCACATTCCACTGACCAAAACTTTGTCACATAACTACACACTAATGCTAGAAGCCTGGGAAATGTAGTCTAATTGTGGGTCAGAAGGAAGAGGAAACAGGTTTGGTGAACAGCTAGCCAGGCTCTGCCACACCCATAAGGCAAAAGAGACAGACACCAGACTCAAAACTGGACTTCTGCTTCCCCCAATTTTTTTTCCTGTTTCTTCTTTTTTTTTTTTTCTTTGTGAGAGATCTAGTTAATTTTTTTTTTAAGATTTTATTATTTATTTATTTATTTGACAGAGAGAGACACAGCGAGAGAGGGAACACAAGCAGGGGGAGTGGGAGAGGGAGAAGCAGGCTTCCCGCAGAGCAGGGAGCCCGATGTGGGGCTCGATCCCAGGACCCTGGGATCATGACCTGAGCGAAGGCAGATGCTTAACGACTGAGCCACCCAGGTGCCCCGAGATCTAGTTAATTCTTTTTATTGAAGTAGGGTTGCACCCAATATTACATTAGTATATTTTTAATATATTTGATTATATTAATATAGAATATATTTAATACTAGAATTTAAATATATATAAATATATATAATGTAATCATGAAACATATAGTGTATTTTTTGAAGTATAATTGACACCCAGTGTACTGTGTGTACAACATAGGGACTCAACAAGTCTATCCGTTATGCTATGCTCACAAGTGTAGCTACCATCTGTCACCATACAACGCTATTACAATATCATTGAGTGTATTCCCTATGCTGTATCTTTTATTCCTATGGCTTGTGTATAACATGTAGGCAGTAGAAATTTTAGATAACAAGTCTGAAAAGGTTGATCAATGCCATCTGTAGGGGACCCTAAAGGCCAAGGTGGAGTTTGGTCTTAGTTGGGTCAGCATGAAGGAGATGAGACAGTGGCATAATCAGCGATGTGGTTCAGAGATTGCTTTGGTGGCCATGTTTATGATAGTTTATTTGGGAGGGAGGTCAGAGGTGAAAAACCACCAACTTAGATTACCCCAACAGTCCAAGTGAGAGAAAATAAAGACCTAAACTGGATGTGGTTATGAGAAAGAGAGAACAGGGGTGCCTCGGTGGCTCAGTCAGTTAAGCGTCCCGACTCTTGGTTTCAGCTCAGGTCATGATCTCAGGGTCATGAGATGGAGCCTCCAGTCGGGCTTCACGATCAGCTCAGAGTCTGCTTGGGATTCTCTCCTCTCCCTCTGCCCCTCCTGCTCGTGCTCGCTCTCTCTAAAATACGTAACTCTTTAAACACACACACACACTCTCACACACACACGCGCACGCACAAAGAAAGAAAAGAACAGATTGAGAGGTGCCTCAAAGGTGAAGTAGGTGCTTGGCACTTGATGGAGCTGGGGCCTTGAAGGTGATGACACCTTCCCTTCTTGTTAAGGCCCAGTCCTGGGTTTTGGAATCTGGAGATGAAGTTTCTTCATGGCTTTTCCTCTGCCTGGAGCATAGATCTGCCTTCCTCCTGACCCTCAGTCCCCACCACCTCTCTAGATCCTTCAATACCAAGCTCAAATCCCATTAAAAGAGTCCACATGTCCAGCAATAGGAGAATGGAGAAACAAATGGTGGTGCAGCTATACAATGGAATGTCAATCAGTTATGAAAAGGTACAAACCGGTGATGCATGTAACAACTTGGATGACTCTTAAATGATGCTGAGTGAAATAAGCCAGACCAAAGCATACATCCTATATGATTCCATTCATATGAAGTTCAGAAACAGGCAAAAATAACCTACAATGACGAAAAAAACCCAGAGTAGCACCTGCTTTTGGGGGCGGGGGACTGACAGCAAGGGGTCTGAAGGAGTTTTCTGGGGTGATGGACAGAGGTTTAGGTCACGTAGGCACATGGGTTTATTAAAATCTGTACAATGCTGCACTTAAGATCTGCATTTCTACATGTAAATCTTACCCCCCCAAAGGTAAACAAATACTGAACTGTCATTGATGATGTGAAAGCTGATGGAAGGATGGCTGGCTAAGTATGTGGTAAAGCAGAGATAGGCAAGTGTTAACGACAGAATCTAGGTGATGGGTAAATGGGTGCTTAACGTATAATTCTCTCAACTTCTGTGTTCTTGAAAGAGTTCTAATAAAATGCTAGGGGGAAACCCCCAAATTTAAGATTTGATAATTCACCTATCAAAGAGGACTGGCAGTCAAAAACCACCCTGCAGGCAAAACGTGGGCCCTTTGTAGGGGGCTATGACCAGGGGCTGGAAAAAGGGGCAGTCTCATTCAGGATGCCTTCCCAGATGAATTTGGCTGGTTAGGTGCAGTAGAAATTCTCTTCTCTGCACCTTTTTCCGAGTTCCATTATCATTAAATCCTTCCCTCCTTGCAGACTAACCCTCTATTCCCTCAGGGTTTGTGTGTCCTATTGCCCTGGGGGCAAAGAAGTACAGACCACCTAAAATTTTTCATCCAAGGGGCGCCTGGGTGGCTCAGTCGTTAAGTGTCTGCCTTCGGCTTGGGTCATGATCCCAGGTCCTGGGATCGAGCCCCACATCGGGCTCCCTGCTCGGCGGGGAGCCTGCTTCTCCCTCTCCCACTCCCCCTGCTTGTGTTCCCTCTCTAGCTATCTCAGTCTCTCTGTCAAATAAATAAAATCTTAAAAAAAATAAATAAAATTTGTCATCCAATAATAAATTTCACATCTAGTTTGATTACTGACTGCAAAGTTATTTGAAATACCACACAACAATGTGATTTCTTCGCTTTTTTTGTTCTAGGAATAAAGAGATTTAACCGAAATGTCAGTGTACGGACAGAACAACTTCCTGGTCCCCAGGAGGTGTCCTGGGGAAGAGAAATGGCAGGAGCAAATAATTAGAAATGGCCACCGGTGCAGTTTCACCTTTGCCACAGGAACAGCAAAACCTCACACAGACTGTAGGGCTTCTTTCCCCTGTTGAGTCAGAGACTCCATCCCTTTTGTGAGCAATACCTTTTCACTAGAATCTCTAATTCTATTCCTCATACTCACTTAATGATGGATTTCTTTTTTGTCCCAACTGGAACATCCTTGATCACAAGTTTCAATCTTTCAGAAATCATTATTTTTCTGAACCTTTTCAGCAGCTGGCTGGCCAACTTTTCCCTCACAAAGTCATGGTGCCAAATCAGGTCATTTCCTGGACAGTTTTTAGTTTACTACTATAAAGAAAAAAAAGCATCTTGTTCTTGCATTTGCTTACTATGTACCTACTATGTACCTCTTTGAGCTACTGACATTACTTTCATATGTATTTTTATTACATATTTATTAAAGTGAAAATCTTTATTTCTTAAAATAGATCAGCAACACACAGGTCTAATCTTTACAATTTTACTTTCTCCAATCCCATACATGTTGACTTACAATTCGCTCATTTTTCTATTTTGCTGTATTTAGAAGCCCTAGTGATAGGAAATAACAGTTCAGGTTTTTTCTTCTTTAGAGGGCAGAAGCACTCTAACTCAGTGATTTACATCCTTAGGTAGGTTTCAGAATCATCTGGGGTGCTGATTTGCACTGCAGATTCTTCTTCTTCTTCTTTTTTTTTTTTTTTAAGAGAGGGAGAGAGAGTGGAGGGGGAGGGGCATAGGGAGAGGGAGAGAGAGAATTTTAAGCAGGATCCACGCCCAGCGGAGCCAGACTTGGGGCTTGATCTCATGACCCTGAGATCAGGACCTGTGCCGAAATCAGGAGTCAGACGCTCAACTGACTGAGCCACCCAGGCACCCCTGTACTGCAGATTCTGGGACCCATCCCTCATATAGGTATAACGGGGATGACATTTTGAGAAACACTGTCTGTTAGGACGTGGGTTATGTTACATAATTTCAACCTCACAGAAACATAAAATGGGCTAACCTGAATATTTAGAACACATGTGCATGTTATACTATTTATATTTTGGCCTCAAATTATCATCACTTTACAGTTCTGTTTCATAAATCAACCTGGAAATAGTTAAGACTTGATTTTTTGTCTTGAAAGATGAACAAACCAGGGACCACGAGAGAAAGCCTGATGGTTCCCTAGTGATCGGTCTTTGGAATGTTGTGTGACCCTTGAACATAAAGGGCTCAGTTATTATCTTAAGTCATTGTGCATGAAAACAAACATATAGCGCTTCAAAAAAATCTAATCACAATAGGCATACCTAATGTATAAAATAACACACCCAACTCTGATACTCTCGACTGTTTACAGCACACATTTTCCTCCACATACTACATACACTTATTAAAAATTTTAGGTATTGTACACATTGTGCTTCTTTTATTTAGTAGTCTTTGGTATTTTCCTGTCAGTACCCCATTCTTTTTAACTGCTACAGACAATATTAAATTTTGTAGACATATTGGTTAGTTATTTCTTTATTGATTGTCATTTGGGCTATTTTCAAGTTAAAAAAGTAGTGCAACAAATATTCTTGGGTCCACCTCTATTCAGGATTAATTTCTGGAAATGGAAGCTCTGGGTCCAAACCCAGAATATTCCAAATTTTAATTGATATTCCTAACTTAAACTCTAAAAAGGCTGCATTAATTTACAAGCAAAAAACGCTATTTCTTTGGATACTTAACAATCCACATCTTTGCTAACACGACGGGTAAATGTGTTTTAAGTTTCATTTTTTAATTCAGTGAAGTTTAATTTAGTTTCCAGCTTTGTAATTTTGGTTTCTAGCTTTATCCATTTTCAGTTCATTACCTTTTTAATTTCTAATTTTAGCCATATGTTTGTTATTAGATTACTCTTTTTTGTATAGAACAGCCTATTGTTCTTCTATCATTTTAACATCCCATGGAATCTCACTGGAGATCGGAAACAGAGTTGTTAGGTCTCAGACCTTTTCTTTTAACCTTCAAAAAGGTAGTGTTCTACCTGCCTCTTTACTATCCCTATGGAATATATCAGAGTTCTCAACTTACGAGAGCGAACAGAACTTTTTTTCAGAAGTGTGATATGCATAGAGAACTCAGAGTTCCTCTTTTGATCTAATTTTCTTTTAATATCTGAGTTTTAGCTCTTCTGTTTATAATCCATCTCTGACCTTTGGACAAATCTGTCTAGTCCTATCTCTGTAAGTCCTGGTTTCAACTTATGCTATCAGGGGATTGTCTCACTTAGGCTCTTGGTAGATATGCTACCCTAGGCAGGTGCTGGTCCTTGACAGGCAACACACAGTTATAGCAAGAAATGTTTCACAAATGGTATCTGATATGGTCTAGTTAAGATTAATCTTAACTTAGCCTAATTAAGATTAATCTTAACTTAGCCTAATTAAGATTAATAAAATCTCATTGCTTAGAAATAATTATCCATTGACCTAAAGTCAACAGAAGTCTTTTTTCCCTAATATTAAAATATATAATTGTTTGGAGGGCAGGGGGAGCAACTAACTTGAAATAAATCAGAAAACATCTTCACATTAATCGTTCTTCTCATATACTTCAAATTTGTACTTAATGCCTTTCTCCTCCTGGACATCAGATAGAACACCTGGGTATCTGTAAAAGAAAAATATCCATAATAATGTGTCAATTAAAAAGATAGCTTCCCTGACTCTCAGCCAAAAGGCATCAATAATGCATAAAGTAAGTAAAAGTTTTCCCTTCCTTTTTTCTTCACAATGGTAAGCCACTGTGAAATTGGGTATTATGTAAGTACACTACATATGGAAACAGAAAGAAAAACTTTCAAACTATGTAGAAAGTTAGAAAACAAAAAGTGCAACTTCTCCTTTCCTTCTGACTCCTAATTCTTCTGTTCAAAACTAACCACTGTCATCAGTTTCTCTTTTATCTTTCCACTACCAATCAGCTCGTATGAAACTGCTTAATACCATTCTGCAAATCTTAACACTTGGTATCAAATTTCTCGTGTGAGCAAAGGAAAAACAAAATACAACCCTCAGCTGCTTAGAGCAGAACTGAAGTTCTATGTCCCGCGTGGTGCTAGATTCTGTTTCCCAGTGTGTGGCTTATTGCAATTCTTTTACTGGCTTCACTGTTTAATCTGGCATTTTCTAACTCTCACTTAGTTCTGTGTTCTCTCCACCTTCCAATTCAAAACCCAGGACCTCCTTTGGGTATATACCAAGAAGTGGAATTGATGGATCATATGGTAATTCTCTTTTTAATTTTTTAAGGAACCTCCATACTGTTTTCCAGAGCAGCTCCACCATTTTACATTCCCATCAATATGTATAAGAGTTTCAATTTCTCTACATCCTCAACAATACTTGTTATAGCTTGGGGTTTTTTTTGATAACAAATCAGGATCTCAAAGAGATATATGCCCTCCCATGTTCACTGTAGCCTAATTCACAATAGCTAAGCAACCTAAATACCCATCAACAGATGAATGGATAAAGAAAATGTGGTATATACATACAATAGAATATTATTCAGCCCCCCAAAAGAAGGAAATCCTGCCATATGCAGCAACATGATGAACTTAGAGGATATTGGGCTACATGAAATAAGCCAGTCATAGAAGGACAAATACTGCAATATCTAAAATGGTCAAACTCAAAAGAACAGAGAGTAGAAGAGTGGTTTGACAGGGGTTGGGGGAAAGGGGAAATGGAGTTGTTTGAAGGCAAGAAACCTTGTTGTCCAAGATGATTAAATTCTAGAGATGTGCTGTGCAACAGTGTGCCTATAGTTAACAACACTGTATATTGTATAATTAAAATTTTGTTGAGAGTAGGTTTCACGTTGTATTCTCACCACAATAAATTTTTTTTCCCAATGAAAAAACAAAACCCATGTCCTCCATTTGAAGGCTGTACTGACCACCCCCATCTCCAACCCAAATCTTGTACTTCCTCAGCATTGTGTGGGCTACACCCCCAATATGCTCCAGGTTTGGGGGGGAAGGAATACCTGCTTTACTCAGACTCATGTTTGACTCTGGTTCTGCTGTGTGATACTTAGTTATCAACACAGTCTTCATCCTTGTGAATAATTTAGCACTGAGTTCATTACATTAAGATTACATTTTCTACAAATGTTACCCTTTAATATTATTAGTTTGTTTCATCCCCATATTTTCTAAACTCAATGTAGCAAGGATAATACAGGAAAAAATTAAAATTAAATCTCTTTTGATATCCAATACAATGCTGAGTAATAACAGGTATTAACCTTTAGTTGACTAATGAGAGATGATGCCATATGATAAAAAATATAATTAAGAGACATAAAGTAACAGCATAATGATGTATAAGGAAATGAAAAAGCTGTTTTTTCTTGAAAAACTTACATTTCAGAGGAAGAAGCTATGTTTCTAGTTACTAACCATTTTCTGAGCTGTTTTGTTCCAGTGTTTTAATAGCAATATAGCATTTTTCCTTTTTTAAAGAAATGATTTTATGAGGCCAATGTTTAACCTTAACTTTAGTTTCTTTGGAATGAGTCACCAAAGGCAGCATTTACATTTTTGTGTGTGTAAAATTATCACGAGTATCAAGGTTCTCAGTTAATAAGATAAAAGCAAAGTATCAAAATGATTTCTAAAATCATGAATAATATTAACTTAGAAATACTATGCTATTGGCTGGATATTGTCACTAGCCACGGTATTAATGTTAATCTGCTCTGTAAAACTGAAATTCATTTCTGCTTAACATTAATTTTGCTTTCCACAATATTCACATATTCAGTTTGTTTTAATAATTACCATAACTACCGCACCATCATACTTCCCAACTGCTTAGGAGCCACATATGAACTCTGAGTTTAAGCCTAACAGGATTTGGAAATACCTCCTATTTGTTATGAACCACCCAGAAAGAGAGTCCCCTCTAGAATCTTCAAGCAGTAAAGAATCCAGTGAATATGAAAAGACATAAGCTCTGAAATGACAAAGCATCATGAGAATATGACACAGATGATTTACTGTAAAGTCTAAGAAAGAGGTAAATAGAGTTCTTAAAACAGTTACCTGTAAGAAACAACTCACAACCAAAATAAAATGAAGACTCTATAGCAAGCAGAGGCTCAGGAGAGAGACATACAAATAACATGAATAAGGATCCTGCTGAATAGTCGGGAAGTAATGGGAACAGAAGAGGAAACGTCAGCCAAAAACCTTCCTCAAGTTGTCCAGTGATAAGGGACATCTGTCCCAGCTCTGGAGCCAACCACTGTTTCAAAGGCCTCTTCTGGGCTTTATCCTCTTTGACTGCATGGTTACCCGGAAGGTTGTTAACTAGAAGGACAAACCTGTTTGGGGCTCATTAAGCAGAAAACCGCCGGTAGAAAATACCTGGACCTGCTGGTTTGGTTGGAGCCTCGAGTGGAACAGTGTGAGGCAGAAAGATCTCTTCCAGGCAAGCTGAATGAGGGCAGAGCCTTAGAGGGCGGGCTGGCATGGTGCGCTGGCGCACAGACTACGACCCACCCGGGAAAAGGCAGACACAAAGTCAAACCTTACTTTGTTAAGACTAATTTCTGCTTTTAGCTTACTACCACCTGTGGTTTCACCTAACTTCTGATTTTATTCTCTTTGCACTTTACAACAGTCCCCTCATCTTTATTTCCTTTTACTAGTGCTTTTGTTACCAGGAACTATGGTGTTAATAAAAGATAACTGTGTTTGAACTGAAACCTATGTAACCACAAGAGGCCCACTAATAGGGATAATGGGGTTCTAAATGAAGTGTAGCTGTGGGGAAAGAAGTAGGGGAGGGTAGAGAACGATCAGAGTTCATTTCTGGACAGTAGGGAGCAATTCTAAGTTCCTCAGTATCCTGAGATTTAGAGAGAAAGAAGCTCAAGAATTGAGCAACATTACAGACCTCCAGGGACAAGGTATATTCCCTTTGTCTTTCCAGGTTTCCTTTTTCTCTACTTCATGAAAGATTGACCTACTCCAGATTTACCCTTAGGGGATTCCTTTCACCTCACGTTAAAGAGGCTGTTACTATGTTGGTACAGGCTTGAAAGTAAGATAGCATCAAATGATGCAGTGAAAAAAGACTTTTCATTTTCTTTCATAGCCAGCCTTGTTTAGCCTTGTCCATTTTGGAGCAATTTCCTTGGATGTGGGCTCTGGATAGCAATTTCCTCTCTGAATCTACCCACAGTTAAAAGTTTCTAGGGGCACCTGGGTGGCACAGTCGGTTAAGCATCCAACTCTTGATTTTGGCTCAGGTCATGATCCCGGGGTCGTGAGATGGAGCCCCATGTCGGGCTCTGTGATAAACTTGGAGTCCACTTGGGATTTTCTCTCTCTCTCTTTCTCCCTCTGCTCCGCCCCCCCAATGTTAAAAAAGTTTTCTAAGACATTTAAAGAAGAACAAATACCAATCCTTCACAAACTCTTCCAAAAAAAGAAGAGGAAAGAGACCATTTCCTAACTCATTCTGTGAGGCCGGTATTCTTCTGACACCAAAACCAGGTGAAGACATTAAGAAAAAGAAAACTATAAACCAATATTCCATTATAAATGTAAATGCAAAAATCCTCAACAAAATATTAACAAATTGAATCCAGGAACATACAGAAAGGATTGTACATTACTACCAAGTGGATTTATCCCAGAAATACAAGAATAGTTTAACATGAAAATCAATCAATGTAATACACCGTATTAATAACCTATTAAAGACAAAGACCACGTGATTATCTCAATAGACTCAGAAAAGGCATTTGACAAAATCCAGCACTTTCTCATGATAAAAATACTAGTGAGGTAGAACTAGACCTTCCTCAATGTAATAAATGGCATGTATGTAAAGCCCACAGCTAGTATACTTAATGGTAAAAGACTGAATGCTTTCCCTCTAAGAGCAGGAGCAAGACCCTCGCCACTCCTCCTCATAATTGCACTGGAAGTTCTAGCCAGAGCAATTAGGTAGGAGAAAGAAATTTTAAAAAAGGCGAAAGATTTATGCGATCTGAAGAGAAACCAGAGTGAGAAAGAAATTTTAAAAATGCGGATTAGGAAGAAGTAAAACTACCTCTATTTGTAAATGATACATCCTGCATGTAGAAAATCCTAAGGAATTCACTAACATTAGAATAAATGAGTTCAGCAAAGTTGTAGGATACAAGATTAATAAACAAAAATCAATTGTATATCTATGTATTACCAATGAACAGTTTGAAAATGAAATGATGAAAACAGCTCCATTTATAGTAACATCAAAAAGAATAAAATACCTAAGAAAAGATTTAACAATGAAGTGGAATACTTGTATAGTGAAAGCTACAAAGCACTGCTGAAAGAAATTAAAGAAGACCTAAATAAATAGAGAGACATCACACGTTCATGGTTTAGAAAAGTACTGCTTAGACAGCAAAATTCTTCAAAGGGATCTTTGTAGTAATGGTTGCATAACTCTGTGAATATACTAAAACCACTGAATTATATACTTTCAATGGGTGGATGGTGTGATATGTGAGTCATCATTCAGTAAAGATGTGAAGTTTTTCATTTCTAAGAGCCGAGAGCCAGAATGGTAGTAAAATATTTTAAGTTATCAAGGATCCCAGAGGGTCAGTTTTGGAAAGAGGTCTGATGGAGAGCAACAGGATCTGGAAAGGTAAATTCACACAGTAATCTTTTCTTTTTGTTAGCAGCAAAGATAGGAATGAGGGTCAGCAGATATCAATATTCACATAATGTGAGAATCAGCAATCTAAGCAGTATAAGAGAAAATATGTAAGATGTGACAAACAAATACAACTGATTTCATAAATATATACAAAATCACTAAGTGTGATTTTTCTATGGGGTCATCTTTGAAGACTAAGCAAAAGCCTGCACTTAAGCTGTTTAGAAAACTTTTAGAGTTCTTAAAATTTTCAGTTTTCTTTAGAGCTAGTTAAAAGCCCAAGGAAATCAGTCACACACTTCATTAGATTCGTGACTATTACCTATTACTCTATAGACTATTACTTTAAAGCTTGGCCATCCACTTATTCAGACGTGACTGAATGTTCTTTTAGGAGGTATTTCCCAAAACAAACTCACACTCAAAGAATAATGACTGGGTTCAACTGACAATATTTGCAAGAATGTGTTAAAACCTAGTCTGAAAGTGTGGATACAATTAATCTTTTACTCTCCATAGCCAAGAGCTGAAAAGTATTTTTTAATTTTTTTAAATTGAAGTATGAAAAGTGCTTTTAAACTAAAATGCTAGGAGTTTTCAAAATCAGGCAGTTTCATGCTAAAATCACAACTCCATTGTAAAACAAGTGTAACCTCCTCTTCTTCTTTTTTTTAAAGATTTTATTTATTTATTTGGCAGAGAGAGAGAGAGCGAGAGAGGAGTGGGAGAGAGAGAAGCAGACTTCCCGCTGAGCAGGGAGCCCGATGCAGGGCTCGATCCCAGGACCCTGGGATCATGACCTGAGCCGAAGGCAGACGCTTAACTGACTGAGCCACCCAGGCGCCCCTGTAACCTCTTCTTTCAATCTCCACCACTGCTATCCAAATCCCTTACTCTTTCACCTCAACTCTTGCAGCCAACTGGTCTCCCAGCTCCACTCTTGTCTCCTCCTGTCCGTTCTCCACAAACAGCTGGAGCAAGATCACTCTCTCTCTATTCAAACCCTCTAAACCTGCATCTGGTCTGAGCCCTTCTGGCCTCCCCATTGCTTACACATAAAATGCTCACAGTGGCCTTCAGGGTCAGGGAGTACACCATGCTTGTTCCTGCCCTCTGGTGTCTACACTATTTCTGGTTTTTTGCTCTTTGCGTGGCTGGCTTCTTGCCATTTAGATCTCAGCATAGATACCACTCTTCAGAAAGGACTTCTCAGACAATACAGTATTTACCACATCACAATATTTCAATTCTCCATACAGCAACTCTCTTGATGTTTATCATTTGCTACCCTCCTCCTCTACTATAAAGAATCTAATCTTAGAGAGCAGTGATAGCATCTGTCTTGGTAAGCACTGTTTCCCCAGAGCCTAAGACAGCGTCTGATGCTAAGCACAGATTGCGTAGAATGAACTAATGACTGCTCTCTAGATTTCAGCAAGATGATTAAAACTTAAACATTCCCAAGTTTGTTAAAGCAGATTTTCAAAAATTCTTAAAGTATTTGTCTACAGAAAACATAACTACTCCAAATTCAATCTGAAGAGTATTACTCTTTCTATAATTCTTAAACAGGAAATCCAAAAGTGCTTCACATAAATTAGTAACATTTTACTTACTCTGGCAGAAGTTTATATTTCTCCAAATCAATTTCTGGAAAAAATGTGTCACTTTCAAATTCCTGCATAATCCTTGTCACAAATAGTCTAAGATGGCCTGGTTTGTTCATGGCTTCCTTTGAAAAAACACAAAAGGCATCAATTTCCTAATTTATCTGTCAAAAGAAATAGAAACTCTAACATTTCTGTTTGTTTTAATTATACAGTCAAGTTTGTAATAGGTATTAGAGACATGCTACATAACTTGTTACCTGTAAAGCATGCTATTTAAATATCCTATTCTTTACTTTGGGGTCCTGCAAGGTATGTTTTAGTTATTTTGAGAATGGGACTAATCATTATCAGTAATTATGAGAGTGAGTTTAAATATATTCTGGCCTCTATTTTGCTTACATAACTCTTTTTTCATTTAAGCATTCAGTATTATCTTTTTTCTTTGGTAGTTGTTTAAGAATTAAGAACTATAAATTATTCATTTGTTCTCCATAGAAAAATCTGCATATATATATATGGATAAGATAGTATAATTTCATGAGACTTTGATTATTGAAAACCCCAAGGGCATACTTAGAACATTTACCTAGAATTTAATAATGCTTCCATTTCTTAGAAGATAGTAACAATGCTAGTAGGTTATTTACTTTCTTAGCCTCTTGTTGCTAATGATTGTATTTGGCCTTATATTGTTAAGGACTTTTCTAACTACTGCCTATGGTACTGTTGATAGTTTCTACAGAAAAAACTGCCCTCAAATGAGTATCTTAAAACTCTAATAAAAAGTCGTGAGTCCTAATTGCATCTCCAAGAAAACAATAATCCTTGATTTTCAAATACCTTATGGTAGAAAAAAAATATGTATAATTTCAAGTGTGTCTTATCCTTGAAGTTCCAAATAAGGGCACAGAACAAATTTTACTTTTTATTTTTGGCTTTTTACTACAGCGTATATGAAATCATTTATTCTCTTGCCCCAACCAAAAAAATATTCTACCAATTCTTACTGTATCAAAAATTAGAGAAACTGAACGAGACCAACGACAGAAGCATCTGAAGGTCTGTATCCAAGTAAATGCTATATGGCAAACGTTTTCTGTAAAGGGTCAGATGGTAAATATTTTAGGCTTTGTGGACCATGTGGTTTCTTCCTTACCTTTGTGGGCAACAGCAGCCTTAGATAATACTAAACCAATGGGCATGGCTGTGTTACAGTGAAACTTTGTTTACAAAAACAGGCTGGCCCCAGGGGAGGTAAGCCTAAGTGTTCTACAAACTATTGTGATGTGAGACAGGTGGATAATGCAAAGTTATCGGCTAGAGGTTCTACTTCCTTATAACTTATCTACATATAGATATATCAAGTATATAATGATATTTAATTTTGAATACTTATAAAAAATGTATTTTCAAGTGAATGTGGTATTATTCAAAATGCATATTGAACAAAATGAAAAAAAAAATGACTTGTTTTCTTAGAAATTCATCCTTGGCTGCAAGATAAAAGGAAAATGTCCATTTCCTTGTAATACAAATAAAGCAAACAAAAAGTAGAAACAGGTCTGGGATCCTGGTATACCTCTTCTTTATAAAACAATTTATGGGTATATATGTCACCACAAACCACCAAAGTGTAGGGGCTGGTTTTTTTCCCTTCCCATAAATGTTAATCTCTCATTAGTGTTTTAAGAGTCAAAAAATTCTATTTATTATCCTCAAAAATTTTGAAACTTGAAAGTCATTTGGTATCAAGAATAAGGAATATTTTGGGACATCTGGCTGGCTGGGTCTATGGAGTGTATGACTCTTGATCTTGCGGTTGTGGGTGTGAACCCCAAGTTGGGTGCCGAAATTACTTAAAAACAAAATCTTACCAAAAAAAAAAAAAAGCTTTGGGCCGGAACCTCCATCTTCTAGTAATTTACCAAAATGACCAGCACCAAGGGAAAGAGGAGAGGTACCCTCTATATGTTCTCTAGGCCTTTTAGAAAACATGGGAGTTGTTCCTTTGGCCATATACATGTGAATCTACAAGAAAGGGGATATGGGGGCGCCTGGGTGGCTCAGTCGTTAAGCGTCTGCCTTCGGCTCAGGTCATGATCCCAGGGTCCTGGGATCGAGTCCCACATCGGGCTCCCCGCTCGGCAGGAAGCCTGCTTCTCCCTCTCCCACTCCCCCTGCTTGTGTCCCTGATGTCGCTATCTCTGTCTCTGTCAAATAGATAAATAAAATCTTTAAAAAAAAAAAAAAAAAGAAAGGTGATATGGTGGACGTCAAGGGAATGGCACTGTTCAAACAGGAATGCCCCACCAATGTTACCCTGGCAAAACGGGAAGAGCCTACAAGGGGACAGCATGTTGTTGTCACCGTTGTAAACAAACAATTGAAGGGCAAGATTCTTGCCAAGAGAATTAATGTACATATTCAGCATATTAAGCACTCAAGAGCTGAGATAACTTCCTGAAGTGTGTGAAAGAAAATGATCAGGAAAAGAAGGAAGCCAAAGAGAAAGGTACTTGGGTTCAACTGAAGCACCAGCCTGCTGCACCCAGGGAAGCACACTTTGTGAGAACCAGTGGAAAGGAGCCTGAGCTACCGGAATCTATTCCTAGGGATTCATGGCATGGTAAGTGTTAAAAAAAAAAAAAAAAGAGTAAGTACTATTTTCTATTTTATCTGTTTTTCCTTATATTATGAAGTCATATAATACTTTTCCCATGCCCTCATATTATATAAAAATTGTTAAGGGAAAGTCTGCTTTTAACAAATTCATACACATCTAGTCAGTATACAGCAACTGAGAGCCCCATCCCTTTATCAGTGAGGACGTAGATATCCTTGAAAAAAAGGGAATAATTCAGTATATCAGGGCACATCCAGGGAGTAGAAAACAGTGCAGTGCAAGTATGATTCTAAGGGAAGGATTTAGAATGTTTTTAAATTAGAAACATCAACTATTTTGAATTGAAAATAAACTGGAACAGGCTTAAAGACTCACTTTTATATTTTTATTTAGTTTTCACGATAGTATCTAAAATGAATAATTCAAATTGACAATATGTCTAGCTAACAGTAGGGATAATATGCTTCCTTTGCTCATGACTTAATTTTTTTAAAGTTCAGATGGCAGGGAAGCTGAAGGAAAGTGGGGTACAACATTTATAATTTTACTTACCTTATAAACAGAACTGCCTCCTACTACCCAAACCATGTCCACTTTATTTGCTAATTCTGGTTGCTCAATAAGTTTTAAGGCATCATCCAGACTTTTGGCAAGAAAATGAGCTCCTTGTGGAGGTTCCCTGAGGTTAAAAAAAATTAGAAATAATTTCTATAAAACCTATTCATATTAGTCAATTAATTATAAAACCAAAATCATAAATATGAATCCTTTCTACAAGAAACACTTAACATCATATGACCTATGACCAATAATAGACCATCTTTGTGCATATATGGTCCACAATGAATCAAAAAACAGAAACATTTCTGATATCTTGTGATATTTATGGTGGAAAAAAATCATAAGAGTAGTTGTCTTCAGAGGGATGGGGTTAGAGGCATAAGGGAACTTTTGAAGAGTTATGGTAATGTTCTCTATCTTAGATATGGGATTATATAGGGGCATATATTTGTCAAAATTTAGCAAAAGTACATTTAAGACTTGTACATTTCACTGTATATATTTATCTCAAAAGAATAAAGCTAATGTAGGGTGCCTGGGTGGCTCAGTCATTAAGCGTCTGCCTTCGGCTCAGGTCATGATCCCAGGGTTCTGGGATCGAGCCCCGCACCGGGCTCCCTGCTCTGTGGGAAGCCTTCTTCTCCCTTTCCCACCCACCACTTGTGTTCCCTCTCTTGCTGTGTCTCTGTCAAGTAAATAAATAAAATAAAATAAAGAATAAAGCTAATGAAATATTAAACTCTGGTTAATAAAGCTAATGAAATATTAAACTCTGGTTAATCATATGTATGCTGAGGTATTTAAGGGAAAACACTAATGTCTACAAGTTACTCTGAAATGCATGAGAAAAACAAGATCAACTGATGTATGGATAGATGGTAAAACAAGCATAGTAAAATGTTAACAGTAGAATGTATGTGGTGAATATACAGGTGTTTACTGTAAGGTTCTTTCTGTATGTTTGAAAGGTTCATAATAAAATGTTAGAGAGAGTAGTATGTTTGAATAACTGTAGCATGGAATGATCTTTATTTTTTTTAGAGAGAGTACGCTCATGAGTGTGGGGGTGGGGGGTTGGGGCAGAGGGAGAGGGAGAGAATCTTAGGCAGGCTCGAAGCTCAGATCAGAGCCTGATGCGGGGCTTGATCTAATGACCCTGAAATCATGACCTGAGCCAAAATCGAGGGTCAGACACTCAACCGACTAAGCCACCCAGTAGGCCCTGGAATGATTTCAAACTCTTACTATGTGATGAATGAGGAATGAGTAAAAGACTTCCATGTTTCAAACATGTAAAGATGGATGAAGTATTAATAAATGAGTATGTTATTTTTTGTAATTAAAAATCCAAAGGAGGGACACCTGAGTGGCTCAGTTAGTTAAGCATCCAAATGTCTGACTCTTGATTTCAACTCAGGTCATGATCTCAGGGTTGTGGGATAAAGCCCTGCGTTGTGCTCCGTTCTGGGCATGGAGCTTGCTTGGGATTCTCTCTCTCCCTCTGCCCCTCCCTACCCCCGCCCCAATACAAAAAATTAAAAAAATCCAAAGGAGGAAAAGTTAATTAATTTCAGGGTTAGATCTTCAGCTTAATCTCTCCCTATCTCCACAACTGTTTTTTGGGGGTGGTTGTTGGGGGGCGGGGGAGGGCTGTAATTCCCTTTATAAATGAAGTAACATGTAGAATTTGGCTTCCACTGTAATTAGAGAACAGAAATTACAATTCAATGTCAAGTTTTTAGACTGACGCTTTAAAAAATTATGTAACTGCCTTTGAACTGGTAGTTATAACAATGATTAATCAAGAGCTAATGGAGACATTCATTTTTTTGGCTGCCTCCTCCCCCACCTCCTTGACAGATATTTTACTTATTTCACTTTGTCATCTCTAAAGGAGTTAAGAGCACAAAGAATGTATTTTGACTAAAAGCTGGAAAAGATATGGAAGCCAGGGTGAGGTTAAATGAGCCAAGGGATTCTCTAAGACATCAGGGCAGCTGCAGCGACTAGGTTGGACGAGGCTGTGTAGGGGAAGAATTGAGTAAGAAACAGATTTGAACTTGGGGAGAAGACAGTCTAGTTAGTAAAGTCTAGAATGCCTGAAATAGAGTCAAGGTGGTTTTAGTAACTGAGGATGCTAAAATCAGGAACGATGACAGGTGTCGGGGTAGAATGGAAAACAGTGACTTAGGAACTGACATCTGAGGAGAACTGGAAGAGGCATCCTAGAAGTTGGTGGGCTATTGCAAAATAATTTAGAAGGTGGTATAAATGGTTGGTGTGGACTTCAAATTAACAGGGTAAACATTTTGTGTAGATTGTGGAACAATGGCTTGAAATGGTGCAAGGGCTTAAGGTGAAGACTACTTCTTTGCCTTTTTGTAGTGAGTCTAGAAAAGGAAAACAAAGGATTTGTTTCAGATTTTAGTTATCAAGTCATGGAGGAAATGCTTCTGCAAAATGTTGCTACTTAGCAGTTTAGGAATAAGTTTCATAGGAAACCATTGATCCAAGATGGGTAGAAAAAAATAAGCAAAAAGTTGAGCTAATGTTTGAGTTCATTAGCCCACCGTGTTCATTGTGTGAAAGCACGAATCCTAGAAACTAACACAGTAAACAGAATATAGTGAGCACTCAATATTGTGACTTGTTTCATAGCTAAATCTCCTTCCTATTATTTATCTCAAGCTAACAGAGATTGCATTCCCTGACAAGAGAGAGTTGGTATGTGGTTGTATAATCAAGAAACATGTGGACATGCTTGATATCTTGTTCCAAACTTAAGTCTTGAATTTTCTCAGAGGGTTGGGATGAGGATTAAGAGAAAGATAATGCACACCATAGGCACTCCAGTGGTATTTCCATCCTTTTTTTTAAGATTCTATTTATTTGAGAGAGAGAACAAGCAGGGGGAGGGACAGAGGGAGAGGGAGAAGCAGACTCTCCGCTGAGCAGGGAGCCCAATGCAGGGCTCGATCCCAGGACTCTGGGATCATGACCTGAGCCGAAGGCAGACACTTAACCGACTAAGCCACCCAGGCACCCCTCCATCCTTCTCTTTAAAAGCCCTATTCAAAAGAGGCTGCTTTTTACCTGATGGATAGTTACAGTAGAAAGAAAATATCTAACATTTATTCAGTGCCCACTTGCTCTCCCAAATAGTGGGATCAGGCAGTGTTTTACATGCATCACACCACTTAATGTGACCAGCAGTCCTGTGTAAGTACTTTTATTCCTGTTTATAGATGATACTGAGGCTGAGAAGTTAAGTAGCCAGTAGTTACAGAGCTAGGAAATGGTGGAGCTGGGATTTGAACTCCAGCAGCCTGATGCTGGAGTCTGAGTTGCAACTTCCTACATAGACATTAGAGTCTCAACTGGTGGTCACGGGCTACAGAGGTGTCATATTCGAGTCCCCTCAGACCTCAGGATGGTATGGCCTAATTCAGGCAAGCCCTAACACCAGTGTCCTCTGGCCTTGAGCAGCCTCATTTGATTACCTCAGGGTATGTGCCTGATGTGAAAGATGGATGTGGCAGATGGAATTCTGGCTCAATTTCCCAAGAGACTGTTGGGAAAAACAAAAAATCCTAGGCTAGAATCACATTTTAACCAAAATTTTTAAAAAAATGTTCAATTTAAGACCTTTCAAACTCAGTCTTTGAAATGGGATTTCCGACTATTTAAAATTGGTTCAAGTATGCTCCATCGTCATAACTGAATACTATGCAGCCATTAAAAATATTTACAGAAATTAATCTTTCAATATATCAAATGGGGGAAAAAGGCAGGTTACAAAATAGGATTATCCTATTTTAAGTCACGTATTGATCATGTATTCTGCTTTGCTAGGGGATATGCTAAATGCTGGGAATAGAGATAAAAAGAAAAAGAAAATCACTCCCTGTACCAATGGCAGGCAGAGAACTATCTCAGCAGTGGCCACAATGTGTAAAGGACATTCAACGGGGATGCGTGGAGGATGCCGGATGAGCAGAGGTGATGCATCTTCTGGGTGCAGTTATGAGGGAGAATACTCCTTTGAGAAAGATCCCTTAGCAGAGAGTCTCAAAGGAGATAAACACATGTTTGAAACACAGAAGTGACAAATGACCATAGATACTACTGAGGCTTGTACGAAAGTTACTGAAGTTATTTAACACAAAGCTCCAAAAAAGTTGAAGGTAGAAGTAATCTGTGCTGAGGTTTAAAATAGTAAAGGGTAGGACAACACAGCCAAGGTCTTAACAACAGGAGAAAATGGGGGTCTAGAATAAAGTGGTGGGGGCAGGGGGAGGGTTCTGATTATGAACCTCAAGTTTGAGGGAAGGAAGAACAAAGTTATATGTTAGGGTAAAAATGAGACCACAAGCCTGTTCATTGTGCTTCCATTAATGTTAATTTTTTCTGTAAGATATAAAATAAGGTAATTTTGCTCAAATAGCAAAGGTTGGGAGAGTAGGAGCTGATATTGATAGGGTACTCTCTGTGTGCCACAAATTTAATATACAAATTTCAATTAATCCTCAAAATCACCCTAAGATGATTTATTATTATCCCATTATTAATCCCATTTAGTAGATAAGGAAATTGAGGTTCAGTAAGGCTTAAGGTTAAGTCTTTGCTATACTAAGTGTGTGAGTGGTGGGGAGAGAAGAGAGAAAGCTTTAATCACTGTGGAGGATATGATGAATTATTATACTATGAAATGTCAGGTAACTTTTATGGGCTGGAGACAATCTTATATCATGGAGGGAATTTTGGATTTATTAAAGATGCTATCAAAGCTATAGCATTATGGTAAAATTTACTTAATTTTTGGTTCTCTGGCCTTAAAAAAATACTTTATTGAGATAAATCACGTACCATACAATTTACCCTTTTAACGTGTAGAATTTGGAAACTTTTTAGTGTATTCATAGAGTTGTAAAGCCATCACCACTATCTACTTTTAGGACATTTCTATCCCCCCCAAAAGAAACCCTGTATCCATTAGCATTCATTCCCCACTCCCACAAAACCAATAATCTACTTTGTCTATGAATTTGTCCATTCCAGAAACTTCACATAGATGGAATTATGTGGCCTTTTGTTTCTGGCTTTTTTCACTCAGCATATGGTTTTCAAACTTTATCCATGTTGTAGCATATATCGGTTCTTCTTTTTATTGTGGAATAATATTCCATTGTATGGATATAGGCTACTTTGTTTATCCATTCATCAGTTGATGGACATTTGGGATGTTTCAACTTTTTGGCTATTATGTATGATGCTGCTATGAACATTTGTTGTTGTGTGGTCATATGTTTTCATTTTTCCTTCATTTCATAAACCAAGGAGTAGAACTACCGGGTCATATGATAACTCTATGTTTAACATTTTGAGAAAATGTCAATCTGTTTTCCAAATGTGCTTGCATATTTCTTTTAAAGCCACAACTTGATTGTCTAGATAGCTTTGGAAAAGCATTTTCTCCCTATACTTTAAAGAACTACTTACCCAAGATAATTAGTATCCTGCAGCAAATTTTGGGATTACCTTGAAGATTCAGTTTCGTCTTACATTGGAGGGTGGTGGTGAAAAATTGAGTATTTCCAAAAGATTGCATGAGCTATAGTGACTATATGAGTAAATCTAGCACTGTGTGGCACATAACAGGTGCTCAGGTTATGTGTGTATTGATCCTCAAGTAGGGAACCAGAAGGAAGGGCAAAAAATAAGTTCTAAGACATTTTTGTAACTGATATCCTTATTTCCTTGATAATAAAGACTTTTGACATTTTCTCTCTGCCTTAAAAAAAAAAAACAAGTAAAATACAGCAACAAATGTTATATATAAATATGTAAGAAAACAACCAAACCCAATTGCATACACCACAGGATAGGTCATAGAGAAGAAATTAGAGTTATCATTTGAGGAGATCTGCTGGCTCAACTGAGTATGTCCCCCACTGAGATTTCTTTATGTTTGTTTTAGCTCAAGCTAGCCATAAATAAACCTGAGTAGTATTCAAGAATATGTTACTAAAGAGTCTCTGGGAATGGCAATACGGTCTGTGAATCTGGATTCTACCAAGTAAAGAGATAATCAGAATATCCTAGCAACCAAAAAAAGAATAGTATGAAGATTGAGGCAGATGGCAAGATGCACATCAACATAATCCTCATCACCCAAAGGCAATCAATGCAAATATTCTGGTATGGTTTCTTTCATGTTTTTACCTATGCCATTCTAGGAGGGATTTGAGAGAAAATCTATATAAGCTGGAACCCCCTTAGCCTACAGTGTATAATGTTTTTTCCTTCCCATGATGTGATGGTCTTTGAGGTGTTCCCTTGATTGGGCTATAGTCCTTGTTCAGACACTAATCTAGGTGTTGCTGTAAAGGTATATTATAGAAGTGATTGAAGTTGATAATTAGATGACTTCAATCTGGGTGGGCAGGATTCAATCAGTTTTAAGGCCTTAAGAGCAGATCTGAGGCTTCCTTGAAGAAGACATTTCACCCACAGTCAGCAACTTCTGCCCCTGCTGGAAAGTTCCCGCATGCCCTTCCCGATGGCCTGCCCCACAGTTATGGACTTGCCTAGCCAGCACCCACAAATGTGTATGCTAATTCCTAGCAATGAAGAACCCAGGGCATTTCCAAGCATCAGTAACTATCTACTCCAATGTTAGCCTGGAGGACAGAAAAATTCCTAGCAGAGGCCAAGTGGAGACACTCCTTTCTCTCTAGGATCCCTAGGTTTATTTCAATACTTTCAAACTTTTTACCTGTAGACACTGGGTAAAGAATACAAGTATAAAATATTATTTGGGTGTTGTGGTAAACTAGGAATAGGGCACAAGATTATGACTGATTTTTAGCCCATCCTAAAATTTCTATCTTATTGACGGCGGAGTCCAAAAAGTGCATAAAACACTTAATCTTGGCAAATCCCAAAGCATATGTGAAACTAGAAAAAAGTTATTAACTGTGTTGTATAAATGATACTTGAGCCTATGGAATAACAGTTCAAGGAAACTGACAAAGCTGTTACCACAGTGAGATTTAATGTAACTTTTCACAGTGGTGAAATCAATCCCTTAAGTAGCAGAGTGAGTTACTGTCATGTGGGATAAATAACTGCTTATTCATTTTCTGTAAATCTTCTTTATGATATTAGGCAGCTTGATCAGTAATGCTGTATTTATACTATTTTGTCATACACTGACCTCCACCATAAAAAATGGAACATGATTTTTTGTGGTGAATTTGTTATAGTACTTACTTGAGGTCTCTGCTGAGAACTAAATTAATTCTGTCCTTTAAAGGTCGATTCTTCTCGGGAATAGAGAACCATGTCTTCCTCCCCATAATCACCAAATTCTGTTTACCTAGAAAATCATATAAAAGGATATTTTGGGAGTATACATTTATATTTTCATATATTCATATACATATATACAGAGATATGATTGTCATAGTGACATCTAGTGGATCTGCATTAAAAATTAAAACAGGCTTACCAAAATTTACATTTATCACCCCATTTCCTAAATACAGTAACTATTTTTCCCTATGGTATTATTCAATTCATATCCAATATTTAGTTTTAATCAACTGCAATCATGTATAATAGTGAAGAGCCAAGATTCTGGGGCAAAGTGCTCAAGTTCAGTATATTCAGTCATCTACTAGACAAGTCATGTTAATCTTCTGTGTCTTACTTTCCTTATTTATAAAATGAAGATAACAGTAGTTCCTACTTCTAGGGTTACTGTGGGGATTGAAGACTTAGAAGATTTAATAAGTCTTGTTTAACTGTTTGATATGATAGCATTATTCATATTTGTATACTTTGTAGATTTATATTAATAGTCATACTTTTAAAGATAAGTGCTTAATATTCCACTCAATTAAAAAGCTAAAACACTTTCTTTCTTTTTTTTTTTTTTAAAGATTTTATTTATTTATTTGAGAGAGAGAGAATGAGAGAGAGCACATGAGAGGGGGGAGGGTCAGAGGGAGAAGCAGACTCCCTGCCGAGCAGGGAGCCTGATGCGGGACTCGATCCCGGGACTCCAGGATCATGACCTGAGCCGAAGGCAGTCGCTTAACCAACTGAGCCACCCAGGCGCCCGCTAAAACACTTTCAACTGTGCTTCTATCTTTCAAGTATAATGCTTCTATAGAAATTTTATACACATAGCTTCCATTTTTGGTTTAATTACTTAGGAAAAAATCTTGGGAATCAGATAACTGGATCAAAGGAATATACACATTTCTGTAATTCTTGATATGTTATGAGAGGCTATCAAAAGAAGTGCATGTGTCTGTTTTAAAGAATCATTATTAGCTTGATTTTATTTAAATAAAAATACTAACATTTACAAAATACAAGTTGTAAGACTAAGCATTTTTCTGTATATTGCTTCATTACTCATAACCACATATTACCTCCAAATGTTAAGAAAAGTTTTTTCCTCTAAGAATTAAAACCCCAATAATTTAGGGTGCCCCCTATGTGATATGCACTGCATTTTCAAAGACAGAGCTTTAGGTGTTAGTAAGGAGATATCAATTATCAAAAATAACAGAGCCATTAGGTGAGGAATTCTGATGAGAGAAATGGTACAGACCTGGCCTAACAACTAAGGTGGAGATGATAAGTGAAGAGCATAGGGAGATATTGGGGGGCAGGGGGGAAAGAAAGAAAAAGAAAAAAGAAAAAAAAGCCAAGACACCTTTGGTACCCTTCCATCCACTCATCCAAGAAATACTGTATTTACTGAATACCAGCAAACAGGCCAGGTGTTGGATGCTTTCCCTACTACTAGACCATACTTTGGATTCTAGAGAGTGGTTTATGTCAATTCCTTAAGATTCAAGCTATTGCTATCTTGTCTCTACTAGTGACCCAAGTGCCAGGTCCAAGGACTTGTACCTGTCCTGTTAAAGTTATGCTGCATTTGCTTCTGACTTACTATTTCCCTTTTACTCTGCTATTCCTTCTCCTATGACCAAATACATGTCTCTTAGGTTTTAAACGGGTATCCCACCACTATATTCTTTTCCTTGGTTGTCCTCTTCTCTCCAGTGGCTCAATTCATCTACTTCCCTGTACCTGAAATTATCCTGGATATCCCACAAAAGCCTCAAACCTCAAAATTATCATTATTACAACTGCACACTGTTCTCCACTCCTTTATTCTCCATGTCACCCAGGATTATTATGAGTATCTGAGAGTTCATCCTGGATCCCTTCCTGCATCCCCTTCGCCTTCCTGATCTCCACATTGAATACCATGGAACCGTTTTTTGGATTTTTCTCTTCTCCACTGCCCTCCTTCAGGCCGCGTCATCTCCTGCAGGGGCTATGGCAAAGGCCTCCTCTGATTTCCTTTCTGTTTTCTTCACCGAAGCCTGCAGGTAGCTGCTAATTCTGCCCAGTACCTCAACTGTACGCCTGCCCATATAAAATTTCAAAGAACGTTTTGTTTTTTTTTAAAGGATATGACAAACCTTGGAAACTGCATACAAATGAGTGGTAAGACAAAGGGTCCCAGATTAACATGGACAACTTTTCATTTAAATAAAATCTGCACTGGCAAGCTTACTCAGCAAGATGTTTCCCAAACCTCAATCTCCTAAAAATCCCACATTACCTTCTACTGAGGAGGTTGTGGTCATTCTTTGGAAAAACTTGAATTCATTCCTACAAGTTAGACAAACAGCATTACTCAAAACATTATCCCGCGGGTTCTAGCTCTAACGCGATCCACAAACGCTGCGCTGGAGGGGTGGGGGGAGAGAGGGCGGTCTCCGGGACCCGGACTTTGTTCTGAGGCAGGGCGCCGCGGGGGGAAAACTCGCAGGGCGGCAGGAGCAGGACGGAAATCAATAACTTGGCCTCCTGGCTCCTGATGGCGGAAAGAAGCCCAGGCCCAGCTCCCGTCAGCTCGGGTCCCAAGTCCGACCCCCTCCTCCCGCCGCAAGTGTTTCCGTGACCCCGTCCTAGTGCCGCGATCAAAGGCAGCCCGCGCCAGCTCTCCCAAACCCAATCTACCTCCTGCCCGGCAGGTACCTGAGCGGGGGCCACGGCAGGTCCCCGTTCTTGCCGATGCCCATGTTCTGGGACACAGCGGCGATGCAGTTTAGCGTACGAACCATGACAGCAGCTGTAAACACCTCCCAGCTAGCTCACCAAATCGGGATTCAGCCCGCCGAGCTTGGCGCGAAATTGCGGCCACCCTGCCTCCTAGCTCCCATTTGTGCAGCCGAGACTCCGCCCCTCGCCCCGGCGCACGGCAGAGTCGTGACGTGCTCGCGCCCGCAGACGCCGGGGACCTGCGGCCGCGGGCTCGCGTTTCTGGCTGGGCTCTGCCCCAGTCGCGTCACTCTGTGCCCTGCGATGTCGGGTCGGAAGCCTGCCTCGGGCCGTGCCGCTGCCACCAGCCCAGCGCCTGCAGGGCAAGCGGTTTTGAGCAGATTCTTCCAGTCTACGGGAAGCCTGAAATCTACTTCATCCCCCTCGGGTGCAGCCGAGAAGGCCGACCCTGACTCTGACTCCGCAGCGCCCCTAGCGCCCACTTTCCCGCCTCAGTTGCCGCCACGCGTGGTGGGTTTGATCCGGGGCGGGGCGTGGCCAGCGGGGAGATGGGGCGGGGCAAGATGGGCGGGGGCGGGGACGGTGCTTGTGGGTGGAGCAGGAGGAGGCGGGGACAGTGCGCGAGAATCCGCGAGATGAGCCGGCCAGAAGAGATAGGGGCGGGGCTCAGAAAGGAGAAGGCGGGAAAAGTCAGGCCGGCCTCCATCCTCGGCGCGGTTCAAGGTTTGTAGTTTCCACTTGGAGTGATAGACTTGAGGCCAAGGTCACTCAGGTTCTTAATGGCAGACCCGAAACAGGAACTCAGGTCTCCTGACTTCCATTTTGATGAGCGTAGGGGCTTGTGGGCAAAGTATACATCTTTTAACCTCCATTCTACGTCCCCGCCCCCCCCTTTTTTTTAAATCGGGATTGAAGGTTGAAGAGTTTTATTTACCGTATTTGATACACTGGGTTAGGTGACTGGAAAAAGAAAATTGACCTTAAGTCTCTAGTTTTTAAGCATGCAACAGCGGTGCGCAGTATTTCAAGCTACTAGGGTAGGAACAGTCATATTGTGCAGTTCCTCAATGACTACACTTCTTGTAGCTAAGATTGTAAAGTTTGATACACAGTTTGGCTGGATTAAGTTTAAGGTGGTGCAGATATGAATGGTTAGTCATTGAGTCCTTCCTGTTGCTTGCCACCGTTCAACTGAGTAAAATAAGTAGTTTGTTTTGTTTTTACCAGGGACACTGCCACCAGGGAAAGTCTAAGGTTGAGCCCTCACTGGGGCTCCCTGGAACAGTATTTTTTAAACTGAGGATGTGATGGGACTCCTGTGTGGCTTAGTCGGTTAAGCGACTGCCTTCGGCTCAGGTCATGATCCCAGGGTCCTGGGATCGAGTACCGCATCGGGCTCCTTGCTCAGCGGGGAGTCTGCTGCTCCCTCTGCCTGCCGCTCCCCCTGCTTGTGCTCTCTCTCTCTGACAAATAACTAAAATCTTAAAAAAAAAAACAAAAAACCCAGGATGTGGAAAGAGATTGCAGACTGACTGTTAGCCACCCTCCCTGTTTTAATATGGATGACAGCTTAGCTACTTCAAAGTCTTATTCCCTTCATTTATATTTCTTCCATAGAGTAATTTCTTCTCTCTTGTTTTTGATTTTTTAAAAATATTTTATTTATTTGAGAGAGAACACACGTGTGAGAGCACACAAGCAGGGGGGAGGGGTAGAGGGAGAAGCAGACTCCCCACCAAGCAGGGAGTCTGATATGGGACTCTGTCCCAGGACCCTGGGATCATGACTTGGGCTGAAGGCAGACACTTAATGGACCGAACCACCCAGGCGCCCCTGTTTTGGATTTTTGATGATAGTCTACATTTCATGAATTGACCAAGATTTTATTTTACACCTACCATTTAGAGGGTATTTTGTGAAGGACTTAATTTTTGACAGGTTTCCTGCCAGTACATAGTTTATAATCTTATGGTATCTTCGGTTGTGAACATAAGCCAAGTTTGAACATGAAACAGTTAAATTACAATTAACATTAACATTTCAAAAATGGTAATGTTCTTTTATTATGTATCTAATTTCACCTTTCCTAAGATGGATATATTTTTTTTAAAGTATTTTATTTGACATAGGTAAGTAGGATGACTCAGGTTTTAGAATCTGAGATAGGTGAAGGCTGATTGAGTAAAGAAAGGTGTCAGCCTTGGTTCTGATTAATGCTAGCAGGGCTTGAAGTGCTGAGGCTCATGACCTCCAGTCTCCACACTGTCTTTCATGACAATAAGGAGAGTTTACCTATAGTTCTTTCCAGGGCTGAAGGTAGATGATTCCAAAAAGAGTGGATGGCAAGGACCTTGTTAGTCAGAAGTACGGTTTAAATTATTTCACATACATCAAGTTTTGAGATTAGAGATAACACATCATTTTCTAATATAGGTTGCAGAAATTGGCAGCAGTAAAAAGAGACCACTGGAGAGTGATGGGCCTGTTAAAAAGAAAGCAAAGAAAGTCCAAGAAAAGGAAGGAAGAAGTGATTCAATGATGTTTGGGAATGCTGGTGAGTCCTAGGGTGATGATTGTTCGTTCTCACTAGTCGTGGTACTGATACTGTATTCTCCAGAGAGCAGGGGAGGTTATTGGAGAGTTGCACGATTTTTTCCTTTATGGACAAAGGTCTTCATTGTGCTCTAGTAGAGTGGCCCCTCCATAAATTGTGGTGTGAATAGGGCTTTGGGGGTGTGGAGGTAGAACTGGAGTTCTGCAATTTGGTTGTAGTTCTCCCCATTTTCTCTTTTATTCCTCCTGGCTAATTTTTGTCCTGATTATAAAAGTAAAACATTCTTGTTATAAAAATCTCAAACGATACAGAAATATAGAAGGTAGACAACAAAAGACCCCATAATCCTTCCCTTTTAGTGAGACCTGGTAATTTTAGGGGGGCTAATGAATATTTTTCCAGGTTTCTCTATACACAGCTGTATGTGTGTATATGTATGTATATATACATATACACACACACAAAGACCCACAAATTACTTAGTAATAATAGAGTTGGCCCTTGAACAACATGGGGGGAGGGGTACTGATGCCTTGCACCGTTGAAAATCCATGTAGAACTTTCTGACTCTCCCAAAACTTAACTACTAATAGCATATTGTTGATAGGAAACCATACTGATAACATAAACAGTTGATTAACATATATTTTGTAGGTTATATATATTATATACTATATTTTTACAACAAAGTAAGCTAGAGGAAAGAAAATGTTAAAATCATAAGGAAGAGAAAATACATTTACAGTAGCATACTGTATTTATAGGAAAAAAATCCCCAAGTGGACCCGCATAGTTAAACCATGTTGTTTAAGGGTCAACTGTATTTTATAAGTTGTATTATACTATATGTACTAACTTGCAACTATCATTTTCCACTTAACGTTTTGAACAATTTTCAATGTCAGGACATGTAAATCTACCTTGTCCTTTTTTAGCATGGAAGTGCTCTTTCTGTATGCTAAAAGTCTTTGGGTAAAACCACCATTCCTGAGCTTGTGGACTTCTAGAGGTAGTGTTGGATTTATAGATGGTTGAGCATTATTTCTTTAGTTCTTGGCCTCGGAGAATTTGTTATAAGGGATAACAGAAAATGCCTCTTTCTTCGTGATCCCCAGAAAATTAGGCAGAGATTGAGATAAAAGGAAAGCAAAAAAAAAAAAAAGTCTCAATTCAGTGAATCAAGCATGTAAGATATCTATCCTTCCTCAAAAGGTAAAGTTTGGATTTAGGGTCAACATGAAAGCCTTGTATGAAATAAGTATAGAAATGGAGATGTATACTTAAAGAGAACGATAAATCTGATAATACCCTTTTCTGTTGTTAACAAGGCAATTGATTTAGAATGTTTTGAAATAAGAGTTTTTGTGACTTGTTAAAAAATGGTGCTCAGGAAAAAGGGAAAAGAGCATCTGTCAGTCCAGCCCCTTCGTTTGTTTTCCAGTCTTATTTCTCCTTGTGCTTCATTTTGGATCAGTTCTCCTGCTACATTTTCAAATTTGGTAACCTTTTCTTCTGTGGTGTCTAATTTGCCATAAATCTGATTCAGTAAAATGTTCATCTCAGATACTGTACGTTTCATCTTTAGAAGTTCTACTTTGTTCTTTTAAAAGAAACCACCTTTTTCTCTACGTGAATTACATCTCAGTAAAGCTGTTACCAGAAACAAACAAAACCCAAAATCCAAATCTTCCCTTTGCTTCTCTTTGTTTGTGTTTTTCTTTACCTTTTTGATTATGTGGAACATTTTTATAATATGTTTTCATGTCCATAGCTGGTAATTCTGTAATCTCTGTCTTTCCTGGGTCTGTATCCCTTGACTGTTATTTCCTGCCTTTTTTATGTCTAGTAAGTAATTGTTTGGGTCATAGACACTTTGAATTCTGTGTTAATCATGTGTTGGGTTTTGTGTTTCTTTTTTTTTTTTTTTTTAAGATTTTATTTATTTATTTGAGAGAGAGAGAATGAGAGACAGAGAGCATGAGAGGGAGGAGGGTCAGAGGGAGAAGCAGACTCCCTGCCGAGCAGGGAGCCCGATGCGGGACTCGATCCCGGGACTCCAGGATCATGACCTGAGCCGAAGGCAGTCGCTTAACCAACTGAGCCACCCAGGCACCTTGGTTTTGTGTTTCTTTAAAGAATGTTGGACTTTGTTCTGGCACACAGTTAAATTCTTTGTGGATCAATTTGATCTTTTTAAGGATTGTCTTTAAATTTTGGAAGAGATGGTTTAGAGTAGTTCTGTTCCTAAAGTTTGATTTTTCTAGAGTTGGGAAGGAATACATAGTAGCAGTAGCATGTTATTATATAGTATTTCTACCACATGGAAAAAATGGACATTAATAACCTTTAGAACATAGATAATAAAAAAGGAACGTAGATAAGTAAAGTGTAGCAACAGTTTTAAAAAATGGTGAGGTTTGAGTATTTATTACCTTTGTTTTTAATACAATTTATTTAATTGTAAGTTTACGTAATCTAATTTGTAATCATGGCTGTGTTTGACAGCTGGCTTACAAAATTCTTGAAGGTTTAACAGTTGGCTCTAATAAGCCAGTATCATGGTGGCTTCATCCAGCACACCACTGGTCTTTCTCTGTGAGCTAGTTTGAGTTTCCTTATAGCTTGAGTCTCCAGGGATGAGCACCCTGAGAGTCAGACAGAAGCTGTATTGAGTTTTAAGAGCTAGCTTCAGAAGTTAACATGCCTTATGCTGTTGGATGAGTTAGTTACAAAGGCCTGCCTTTGTTCAAGAAGAGGGACCGTCTATCCTACCTCTCAGCGCCAGTGTCAGCATTACATTGTAGGAAGAGCAAACAGGATGGGATATATATATCTGGCCTTCTTTGATAAATAAAATCTCCTACATGGGTCAAAATTCAGAGTCGACTTTTTATGTTGTTAATATTCTTATTTGAATTACAGATAAACATAGTATAGAACTCTATCTCAGGAGTATTTTGATAAATACAAATCTTCATTATCTTAATGCTTATAGTATATGTGCTACTGAAGCGAGCACTATCGTAATGATGTATAAATAAATTCAGATTTTTATGAGTACGACCCCAAGACTTGTAAACCACCCCCATCCCAGGAAAGTTTTTTAATATCTGTAGGAGGGAAGTTCTTGTATAATATACACACTTACAGTATACTTTTTTTTTTTTAATTTATTTGAGAGAGAGAGAACGAACAGGCAGGGAGAAGGGTCAGAGAGAGAGGGAGAAGCAGACTCTGCCGAGCAGGGAGCCTGATGCAGGGCTCCATCCCAGGACCCTGAGATCACGACCTGAGCTGAAGGCAGATGCTTAACGACTGAGCCACCCAGACACCCCAGTGGTATTGGTTCTTGGTTTTCTTCACTACTGGTTTAGGATTTAGCTTTCAGGTGTGCTAAATTGGTTATTATTCATCTATTTTTTCTTCTAGTTTCAGATTTTTTATTTGCACCTGTCATTTCCCCTTTTCTCTCTGTCCTTATGTCCTAAAAAAAAAAAAAGAAAAAAGAAAAGAAAAAAAGAAAAACCCTACTGTAGTTTGTAATGGGGTTTCAGGACCAAGTGAAATTACATGTATGTTTCAGTATGCTCTCTTTACCCTAAACCCAAATGTTTCTTTATTTCCTTATCACATTGTAGGTAGATTCATTGCTTTAGTGAGAAGCTCCCTCTTTAAAAATCCTACATTGGTTATGAATTGACATAATGAGAACAAAATACTATTGTCATATTTTCTTCTGATTTGCTAACTAAGAGCCAAAGAAATGTCTGAGGACCAAGAATGTTTTAAAGTCTCTGGAAAAATTGAAAAAATTCTGCTGCGATTCTGCCCCTCCTCAACATAGAGTTCAGACAGAGCCTCTTCAGGAGAGATTTGCAATTCTGCCAAAATGTACTGATTTTGACGATATCAATCATCTACGTGCAAAGAAGGCAGTTTCTTGTGAAGATTCCAAATCTCATATTAGTCAAAAGGTATGTGTTTTGTAGATGAATATCCAGTTACACAAATCAATAGGTTTTGAGGTGCCAGTAGGTTCTGTGGGTTCACACAAGGCAGTGGTTCCCAAACTCGGCTAATCATCCAAATTAGCTGCGGGAGCTTTTGCATTTTAGCTTATTTATTTTTTAAATCCATGGAGATTGTGATTTACTATGTATTAAGGAAGGAAGAATTGGTTTGTATTAAAACAGAACCAAAAAAAAGCTCCTGGGTGATTCTGATGTACAGCCTGGGTTAAAAATCCTTGGTTTGGGGGGATTCTTACTAATGAATACAAGCACAAGTTTTATAATCCTCCTTATAGTTACCATGATGGAAAACCATAGGCAATATATGTGGGGTTTGAGGTTTTTAGTTGAAAACTTGGTGATATAAAGTAAATTCAAAGGCAAAGCAAACATATATGGCTCTTTACTTCCACTGTTATATGATATATTAATGTTTTTCAGCATTGCAAAATCAAGGAATTTAACTTTTGCTCTGTCATTAACATCTGCAATTCAGAACAGTGGTTCGCAGGCCAGCTTTAAATTAGAATCACCTGGAGAACTTAAAAAAATGCTGATAACAAAAACCTTCAGAATCATACTGGTTTTCGCTAAGAACGGAGTATGAATATTGTTTAAAAGCTCTCATTTTAATGTGTAACCATGGTTGAGAGCCATTGAATTAGAGAAATTAGTTTTTTTTTTTTTTTGAGTCATTTAAATGAAAAGCTGTGGATTTTGAAAAAGCTATGGACTGAAAGCAATGGATTTTTTACTCATAAAAATACTCACACCAAGACAATTTTTTAATGTAATTTTCAGAAGTTTACACTCCTTCCCACAAAATCCAGGTTCACGAACTCCTCCCTCATCCAAGCTGAGATCTATTGACTTATCGTAGGTCATCAGGAAAAAAGGTGTTTTTGTTTTTATTTTTAATCTCTTTAAATACTTAGGAGCAGTTCACTTGAGGGTAGTGGTCATAAAAATATCGATATCAAAACATTTGTCTATTAAAGCTCACTTTATTAATTGGAGAGTTTACCGTAGGGCTTCATGAGAGCTTGTTTACCATTACTTTATACATATAATGACCACCTTGGTATTTCTGATTCACAGCACATTAGAAGTCACCAGTTAGAAGGGACACCTAGAAGTGTAGTACATGGACGTCATTACAGGAGATAGCTGACTGATGGCATGGAAGGACACAGACAAATGGTAAAAGCTACTAAGTGAAGTTAAATGGCCAGGGTCTAGGGTCTGGGACCATTAGTGTGGGAGTCAACAACCCTGTAAGTCTTGATAGGTTTTGAAATTCCCATTTTAACATTCTGAGAAGTATTTCCACCCAAATGGTAAAAAAAAAAAAAAAAAAAAAAAAAGTTGCTTAATACTCAAGTATTCAGATTGACTTATTAGTATAAAAGTTTTTTTCTGCATGCCTGTTCTCATTCCATATGTGAATAAAGCATAAAGTAAGAACTTTTTTTTTCTAGGAAATATATTTTCTTCAAGTATATGGTATTCCTGGATTTTACATAAAAGGCATGGAAACAAATGAGAGAATCCATCAAAGTTAAAAGCAAATGCATTCTCTCATCTGATACATTGACTTACCCTTCCGTTGCCACACCTTCCCACACCTCACCATCTCATTGCTGATATTTGGAGATTTGCTGGGCTGCACTATTCAGATAATTTACATTTCTACCTCCTATTTCAGCTAAGCCAAATTTTTATTTTTTTTTTAATTTTTAAAAATTTTTTATTTTTTTAAGATTTTATTTATTTATTTGACAGAGAGAGAGACACACACACACACACAGAGTGAGAGAGGGAACACAAGCAGGGGGAGTGGTAGAGGGAGAAACAGGCTTCCCGCTGAGCAGGGAGGCAGATATGGGGCTCGATCCCAGGACCCTGGGATCATGACCTGAGCCGAAGGCAGACACTTAACGACTGAGCCACCCAGGTGCCCCTAAGCCAAATTTTTAAATGCAACTGTAAAGTACATGTTGCTGGGCTTTCTCTTGGATCAAGGTCCTCTCCCTTGGCCCTATAGGACATTTCTCTTTTTCTCTTCCCTTCCTCTGCTGATCACTGGTCTTTTTTTTAAAGATTTATTTATTTGAGTGGGGGAGGGACAGAGGAAGAGGGAAAGCGAGAATCTCAAGCAGATTTCCTGCTGAGTGTAGAGACCAGAGCCCGATGCAGGGCTCCATCCCAGGACCCTGAGATCATGACCTGAGCTGAAATCAAGAGTCAAACACTTAACCGACTGAACCACCCAGGTGCCCCTGATCATTAGTCTTTTAAAGATTATTTATTTATTTTTTTAGTAATCTCTACACCCAACGTGGGGTTTGAACCCACCACTACGAGACCAAGAGTTGCATGGTTTTCTGACCGAGCCAGCCAGACGCCCCTGATCACTAGTCCTTTAGGTCATATATATGTATTTTTTTAAAGATTTTATTTATTTATTTGACAGAGAGAGAGAGCCAGAGAGCACAAGTGGACGGGGGTGGGGGGAGGCTGAGGGAGAGGGAGGAGCAGACTCCCCTTGGAGCAGGGAGCCCACTCAGGCTCGATCCCAGGACCCTGGGATCATGACCTGAGCTGATGGCAGATGCTTAACCAACTAAGCCACCCAGGCACCCCTTTTAGGCCATATTTTTAATTCCAGGCATAGCCGATAAATTTTTAGATGATGGCAGTGACACAGTGACAGTTAGCTAGAAGTCAGATTTATCCTACAAATTTGTCTCATTTTACCTTTTGTATAAATAAGTCTCACAAGCAAGGAATTTGCCCTAAGCTCTAAACTGGAATTAGTTATGGTTTTCACATATGAAGGGAAGGCTAGCAAGAATACTAATGTTGAAATGTGACCTTGTGCTTTATACTTTTCAAAAGCTCTGTGTCATATCTCTTTACCAAAAAAAATCATGCTTCTTTCTTGTAATCAAGATTTGTGGAATGTACTATCTTTTATTTATTTATTTATTTTTTTAAATTTTATTTATTTATTTGACAGAGAGAGACACAGCGAGAGAGGGAACACAAGCAGGGGGAGTGGGAAAGGGAGAAGCAGGCTTCCCACAGAGCAGGGAGCCCGATGCGGGGCTCGATCCCAGGATCCTGGGATCATGACCTGAGCCGAAGGCAGACGCTTAACGACTGAGCCACCTAGGCGCCCCATGGAATGTACTATCTTTTAGACTGTGCTTGGAAATTTGAAACATTAAGTGTAGCTTTAGCTGATGGCATACTTATTGAAAGTGGTCTTACCTACTGTTGAGAGACATTCATGCCTGCTCACTCTTTGTGCCTTACACATCTGGGAATAAATATGGAAAAGAAAAATGTTAATTACAATAGATTTAATGAAATAGAATTTAAAAAGAGGTGTATAAAACTAAAATGTTTAGGCTTTTAAAATTTGTTTAAATAATTATACAGTAGTTTAGTTTGGCTCTTTGTTTTGTTTTTTTTTTAGTCTTTTACTCTGAAAAAAATTTCAAACCTGCAAAAAAGTTTACCTGAATATACTATGTATTCCTGTAAACTTTCACTTAGATTCACCAATTGTTAGGTTTGTGCCAAGTTTGCCTTCTCTCTCTTTCTGAAAACTATTATTATGGTTAGTACTTTCTAAACTATAAAAATCTTTTGGTTGCCAGGATAAGACACTTTCTGATCTCAGTCCCTTTGGATCATCACACATGGGTGATGACAATTTACAAAAAACTTCTGATCCTAAGCCATCTAACAAACGGACCAAAAGCATCTACACACCTTTAGAATTACAATACATAGAATTGAAGCAGCAGCAGAAAGATGCAATTTTGTGTGTGGAATGTGGATATAAGTATAGATTCTTTGGGGAAGATGCAGAGGTAAGTTATTTTTTCAAATACCGTTTCATGTTTTTCTTGTCCAGCCTGAAATATTTTCCGATATTTTCGTTTCATTTTCTGACTTTATAAGAGGACCAGTGTGATCAGTTGCTTTTTAAAATGCTGTCATTTAAAGTAAAAACTACAAATAAACACAGGCGAACTTGGGGGGTGCTAGACCAGTGGGGGAGGAGTGAGGGACCCCTTTTGGAATGTCATGCCTTTTCTCCATGAGCTTGTCCAGGACCTTTCATCCACTGCAAGGTGATTGGATGAATCAGATAGTGAATGAACCATAATCATGTGAGTATTGATGTTTCCTGATGAAGACTCAAGCAAGAAAAAATATTCAGATGGCCCGTTTACTCTGAATTTATAAATTTTGATGGCCTGGAAGGTAGTTACGTCTCAGTGGAAGAGCACATTAACTGCCAGGCACCTGCAGAAGGCGTTTGAAGTCCTACAGTCTCTTTGTATGTCAGTCATCTTGCTCTGTTTGTATTTAATTTTGAGGTATTTGATGTAGGCAGAAGTTAAGGTTAGAAGTGAATTTGAGCATTTAGTGGGCAAGTGTAGGGAACGCATCGCTGATGCTGTTGAAGTCATGCATGATTGTGATAATTCCACAATTTTAGTCTATGTCATCAGATGTCAGACATCATCGGAGCGTGATGGGGTGGCACAGCTAACATCTACCTCATGGATAGGAAGTAAAGACTTAACCAACTTTTCTTCCAGTTTTTAAAATCCTGTTGGGGCATGGAAGTGGTGATCTTTAGTATAGGTGGCATCGTGTTGTGTTTGGTGTTACGAAGTTAGGCTTTGAAGCAGAGTCCGCGTGTTTCCTGAAGACAGGAACAGATACATAGTTGGCATCGTATAGGTAAAGGGGTGAAAGAAAATGTCATTCTCTCCCCTTCTCTCCAGGTCGAGTGGTAAGTTAAAGGCTAATGTCTTCTGGCCCTGCAGTGAGGAACTAATACAGTCCAGAGATGGGTGGGGTGAGGGAGTGAGAATGTTGGAATGAGAGTTCCATGACTTCAGTGGGCAATATCTGAGCCATCGAGCTTTCCAGAAGGTAGCGGGGAGTCAGGTGGTGTTGCCTGGTTCTGCATTCCTATCATTTATGCATCGTGCATTAGCTAACCAGACCAGGGGGTTCTCTTCTCACTTCCTCAAAGATATCCTCTGTCCAGGTAGCTTCAGAATTTATGTATGGTAGTATCTCCTCATTTTCAGTATTTGCACGTGCTTTGTTGCAAATTCTTACTCTTACAGTCTCACACTCTGTGCACTGAATAGTCCTTATGCAGGGAAGTAAGGTTTTGATAGATCTAGGGGCATAGAAGACCTGTCATATTTTTCCATGTCGTTTATAGATACAGATGTTGGCCCTGAGGTTAGGCCGTGGGAACTGCCAAAAATAGATTAAACCATAGGCTTCTATATGGGAAATGTCTTTTAAGCTTTTTATTGATAATACCACACAGGTGGAGAAGTGCACTAATGCCAAGTGTATACCTTGATGGATTTTTAGCAAAGTGAGCAAACACCACACAGGGACTCTTGAAAGAGAAATTTATTGATAACTCTCTTTTTAAATTTTTTAGATTGCAGCCCAGGAGCTCAATATTTATTGCCATTTAGATCACAACTTTATGACAGCAAGCATACCTACTCACAGACTGTTTGTTCACGTGCGCCGCCTTGTGGCAAAGGGATATAAGGTCAGCTTTGGCTTTGACTTGTGCAAACGGGATTGGGTTCCCTTCAGAGAGTGAAAACATGTTCTGTAAGGTGGTAGGTTGTAATTGGAATTTGGCCTTTGGGAAATGCAAGTGTGTCACAGTTATTAGCATTATATCTTCATGAGTTTTTAATGTACTAGAATTTTAAGGTAAATTAAAAAAAAAAAAGTCTGTGATACTGTTTCTTAGTGATTTATCCACACTTGCAAGCTCTTTGTGGTGCTTATTACTTAAGCCCTACATCTGGACATTGTGGACAAATGTGTTTATTTTATATGTTTCAGAATTAACCTTTTAAAGTCTTCAAATGTGTTTCTTTAAAACAATTTCCCTCATGTTTGATATTCAGTATTTATTTTTGTTGAAGGTGGGAGTCGTGAAGCAGACAGAAACTGCAGCATTAAAGGCTGTCGGGGACAACAGAAGTTCACTGTTTTCCCGGAAATTGACTGCTCTTTATACGAAATCTACACTTATTGGAGAAGATATCCTTTTTGAATAGGAATTTTTCTCGTAAATGTTACAAAGGCTTTGTTTTATTTATTTTTTATTTTTTTTTTAAGATTTTATTTATTTATTTGACAGAGACACAGTGAGAGAGGGGACACAAGCAGGGGGAGTGGGAGAGGGAGAAGCAGGCTTCCCACGGTGCAGGGAGCCCGATGCGGGGCTCAATCCCAGGACCCTGGGATCATGACCTGAGCCGAAGGCAGACGCTTAACGACTGAGCCACCCAGGCACCCCTGCAGCGATAAGGTCTTAAAAGATACTGTGTGAAAGCAGTATTTCTTTTTATGGTTTATTACAAACCTGCTTATTTAGAGACCTGCTTAGCTTCTACCCAAATTATGAAGACCGTTTTGTTCCAATAATATCATGAATAGAAACATCTATTACACAGAGTAGACCCCAAACCATTAATAGTTCTCTGCTGTTCTAAGCTGATCGGCCTGTAGGAACCTGGTAATTTTATTGCTGCTTTTGCCTGAACTTGAAGCCTCCTCCTAAAATGGTACACCTCCCTGCTTCTCTTTTGCCATTGCTATAGCTCTTACCTGCTGATGCCTAAGTTGGTTGTTTTCGGATTGACTTCTGAAAATGTCCCAAATCAGCATTTATCTCTGAGAATTTAATTAATGGACTCACTACATATACATCCTTGGATACACGTATCATGTGTATGTTTTCTTTTTTCATGTCTTTTAAAAATTCTTGTGCTTTTTCTCAGAGCTTTAGGCACCTTAAAGGAGGAAAATAATTTACACTATTTTAGTGTATTCATGCTTTGACTTGTGGAATTAAGCATTGTGGGATTGTTAAGGATTCAAGTCTTAGCATTATCCAAGTAAAGAAGCAGATTAATATTTGAGCTTCCACAAGGGTACTCTCCTAGGCCCTTTGGGAAGTGAGAAGATAATAATTGTCTGTCCTTACAAGCCTCCTATCTTAGGGAAGATAAGGCATGTAACTATGATCAGAGTAAATCAGAAGAATGAAGGCTGTATGGAAGATTTTGCCCAGAGCAAAAATGTCTGGGAAAATGAAGCATTATTTTAAAGGAGAAAGCCGTTAATGTTAATGGGAATGTAGCATATAATTTTCTTTAATGATTATTACATGTGAACCCTTTAGTCAAGCTGGATGATGCTGTAAATGTTGATGACATAATGACTGATACTTCTACCAGCTTTCTTTTGTGTATCTGTGAAAATAAGGAAAATGTTAAGGACAAAAAAAAGGGGAACATTTTCTTTGGAATCGTGGTAAGTGCATTGTAGGTAAAGACGAATGATAGATGTTCATGGTATGTATCTCTGTGAGTACTCATGTATGGTTTACAATAAGACTATCTGATGAAATGTGCCCTCAAGTAATTGTACTAGAAAAACATTTTTCCTTATAATTTTGTATGTTAAATCACTAGTTAAGATTTTCTCATATGGCTACTTGGCACGCTGTGCTATGGAGACATCCAGGTAGTTTCTGTCCATGTGCTCCGTGAGTTTGGGTTCAAGATGGACCCAATGATAAGCATGGGTATGGATAAGAAACAGCAGAAGAAAACACTAAGCCAACACATGCACAGATAGTAAAGGGTTTTGCAAATTTCCTCTAGGAATTTGAAGTTAAACACATGATGATGGGATTGTTGTATATAGATTTGGAGGAGAGAGAATAGTTAGGGGGAAATGATACTTGGCAAATACAAAACTCTATATTTAATGACATTAGGAATACTTAATAGTCATTCTTCTAGAGAAATACAATTTGTGAATCGTAGTTTTATTGATTCTGCCGTCTAGCAATTTGTGAATAAATTTGCCCATTTACAGATCTACCTGAACTCTGCTCAAAACCTCAAATTTTTTAGTGTCCTTCAGAACTATTAGACTCCCTTGTTCTGTTGTAGGTGAAGCCAAAGTAGGATTCCTTGCCTAAGTAGTAACTCATTCTCTTTGTTTTTTCTAACTTGCAATCAGCTGCAATATCAACAAAAATTCTTACAACCCAGATGTCTCCAGAGTACTTTTTAATACCTAATTCTGGTTGGATAAGTTTGTGCTAACTTGACATTTGCTTAGCCAATAGACCTTTGTCTCAGGGAGCTAGCATTACTGTTGGGTGAATGGTTTTGTTTTTTTTTTTTTATCCTTGAGAAGTCCTTTTTGTCTAGCCACAGGCAAATTGGGTCTATTTACAAATAGTAAGGTTATTTGTCTTTAAGCTTTAACATGTGTAACGTGCTACTTTATATTTACCCTAAATTCAGTCTAAAGAACAGAGCTGATCATATACAGTTCCTCCTTAGCACTTAGTGCTTGCTGCCAGGGTTAATCATTGTGTATGAAAATGAGAAATTCCTCTCACGTGTTTTCCTGGGTCCCATCCTTGACCTCAGTGACCGCTTTTGGGCTGATGACATCCAAAGCTGTGGGCCCAGGCTGCACCTCTCTCCAGAGAGCCAGCCTCCTGCACCCAACTTTTTGCTGGGCACGGCACTTAGAATTTGTCCTCACTCCTCAAACTCAGTGTGGCTGCGATGGATCTCTTCTTTTTTTCCCCTCAGTACTATTCTTGCCGGGTTTTTCCCTGTTGTAATGAGTGTCACGAGTTCTCTGTCACTCCGTAGGAGTTATCTTCTAGATAGTGGCAGTGTCATATCAAAGGTTTTAGTGTTGATAGTACTGCTGCAATTATGCCCTTGACCTTCACTCTAGGTGGTGCACAGTTTTATACAGACTAACTTTGGGGTTCTTAGTGTCACATATCGCATTGTAATAGATGTTGTGGGTGTTATAGACCATTTCTCTGATTTAAAAAAGGCAAAGGGGAATTAGGCTGATAAATTTGTTAACCTGAACTTCCGTAGCTAGCTTTTGTAAATGTTTGGTTTGTAGATTGGGAGATAAATTTACTTAAGTATACTAATATACTTATAGTCCAGCTATCTGGGTACTAGAGAAGGTCTCTCGGCTAGAATTAAGGAAGTTCCTTGAGCCAAAAATGAGGGCCTTCAAAAAATTATAAAATATTCAAAAGAAAAAAATTGATAAAACAGAGTGCATAATTGCAGTAATTATAGTAATGTGAGACAACCACCTAGGTCAGGAAATAGAATATTGCATAGAGAAAGGCCCCCTCCCTTCAGCAGAGGTAATTGTAATCCAGACTTTTATGATAATAATTTCCTTGCTTTTAGTTCCAGTTTTCCACCTTAAACTATATACAAATGTAAATATATTGTATCTTTTTGGATCTTGCTCCTTTTGTTTACAAACTACTATTTGTATATGAGATTTATTTACCTGTGTTACTGTAGTTGTGTTTTCATTGTCATTGCTGTGTTGTATTTCATTTTATGATTTACACTTTATTCATTCTTCTATTAGTAGACATGTGGGTTCTTGTTAAATTTTGGTTGTGCAGAGAATGCTGTTAGAAACCTTTTTGTGCATGCCTTGTGGTATACATACCTCTCAGTATATACCTCGGGGAGGATTTGCTGAGTTGTGATACTGGATGCTCACGACTTGTCGAGAAAATACCATGCTGTTTTCCCAAGAGGCTGTGTCAGTTGACTTGGTGTCGGGAGTGTTTGAGTGTAGGGATGAGTGTAGCTAATGCCGTCTGTGCGTCTGTAACTAGTGCCATGAATTTCTTAAGCATCAGCAGTGGACGAGAGCGTGGCCTATGGAGTGAGGCCGCATGACCCTTGGCTCCACCACTTTATCACCCTGCAGCCGTGCGTAGATTACTTACCACCTCTCCCAAACCATGATTTTTTCCAGCTTACCTTTGCTATGGCTTAGGATGATAGGGGGTAGCTTTTAGTTTTCATGGTTATTTCCCTGGATAGATTCTCTAGTTGAGATTCATTCAGTTTGTTGTATTTGTGCTTTTTGTTGCTTGTTTTTTTGTTTTTTTTTTGCAAAAATTATACTTTTATTGATTTTATATAATGAAGTAGAAATTTACTACTACTCTGATGGCCACGTTACTAGGAACATATTACTTTTAGTGATGACAGCTGCTAATTGTACAGTACTGTGTACTTTACAAAGCATGCACATTTGTTTTATAATTTGACCCTTGCAGTAATCTGAAGATTAAAGTAGGCTGATTTATTCCCACTTCACGAAGAAGGAACTGAGGGTTTTGGGACTTGTCAGAGTCATTCTGTCAGTTTTGTTGGATCCAAGACTTAGAGTGTCTCTAAAAATCCCATCTAGCATAGCTTAGATATTGGTGAGTCTGACTTCCTACCTAAGAATCTTGGAAAGTACACAGGTTTCCAAACACTTTAGAAATGGACTACATACTAAAGAGTGTATCCTCTTTACCACATTCCCATGTTTGTTTATAATGTGTCAAGGTTATAATTGGGAAAACTATTTTGTCTGTGACGTAGTGTTTTTGTTTTTAGGGAGTACAGCCTGCCACAGGTGAGGTGGTGTTTGATAGTTTCCAAGACTCTGCTTCCCGTTCGGAGCTAGAAACTCGGATACTGCGCCTGCAGCCGGTGGAGCTGCTGCTTCCCTCCCACTTGTCAGAGCAAACAGAGACGCTTGTCCACAGAGCCACAGCTGCTCGGTAAGATGGCACATCACGGAAAAGAACACTGATTTTGAAACTCAGATTTGATTCCCAAACTGGTACTTATGCAACTTATTAAGGTTGTTGAAAAGTTTTTACTTACAAAAATATTTTAACAGGAGTCGTGGAAATGTCAAAAAAGAAAACTAAAATTACCCCTAATATCACCGTAATGTAGGATTTTTAAAGGGGTTTCATATTATTCGGTAATTAATCTTCAGTTTCTGGAGGTAATTTAGAGTTCATTTCTTATAAAGGTTAAATAAATTTGAAAATGCTTTATCTGTGCTGCAAGTTTTAATTTGTGACTCTGTCTAGGACTTTTATTTATTCGATCTAAGGTCACACTTCTTATTGATGAGACAGTATGCTGGGCACTGTGGTGTACAGAAGGAGAGGAGGTGGTTGTGGTCTATGTCTGGCAGGCTTTATAATCCAGCAAGAGATGCAGATGTGTACTACCTAACTGGATTCACAAAGCCTGATATATTAAGGGACAAACATGAAGGTACCTTGTTGGGACCATTCCATCCTGCTACCTGGAGGAGTGTTGGAAGAGAAAAGACACTGGAAAGGCGGGCTGGGGCTCCAATGGAGAGGATTATATGTTGAGGAATTTGGACTTTAGACTAGGCAAGAGAGTCCCTAAAGATTGTTATTTAGTAGGTTGACAGATCAATTAGAAAGTCATACTAATTGATTTAGTGAAGTTCCATGTATTTTTTTATTCTGCAAGTTTAGAGTGTTCTGTTCTCATTTGGATTGAACTTCTTTCTAAGTAGCTTTCATAATGTATATTTTTGGTTATACTACTAATTCTTGATCATTTAGGAAAAACTGGGAGTTACCAAAAAAAAATGAAGAACTAAAAATAAGTCAAATCCTATAACACAGAAATAATTACTCTTAAATGTTTTGGTGTGTTGTTTCTATGCATGTATATCACCTTTTTTGTTTTAGAAACTTGGATTCATGTTGCAAAATCAGTTTGTGTCCTGTTTTTTTACCTAAAATTTCCCATACTTTTTTGTGGAAGATTTTATTTTATTGTGGAAAATTTCAAACATATACAAAATTATACAGAATAATGCAGTGAACACCCATGAATCCATCAAGCAGCTTCAGCATTGCTCAACTCAGCTGATTTCATTTCATCAATATCCCTACTCCCTCTCTTCTTGAATTATTTATTTGACGCAAATTCTAGAGGACATCACTTCATCTACTAATATTTCAGTAGGTAGTCAGTGAAAACAAAATGACTACATACCACTCAGTCATGTAAATGGATAATTTATCCATTCCCCTTTTGTTATGTTGCATTCACTTTTCAGTTTTACAAATATTGCTGTGATAAATACCCATGCATAGAAATATTTGTGTGCATTTCTGATTATTTCCTTAAGCTAAATTCCTAAAAGTGGATTACTGGGTCACAGGGTATAAATATTTTATGAAGCTCTTGGTTTCTTGCTAGAATGGTCATATCTGTTTATACTTCTACCACTACTGAATAGTAAGAGAGTTGCTTGAACCTTGCTAACATTGGATCACTTAAACAATTTCTGCCAGTTGGATAGATGAAAAATTCTGCATCAAGTCCCCTTATTTTATTATCCTCTTCTGACAGTGCGTTAAAACTTGAATAATTAAAAGTGAGACAGTAGACTAATAAGGGGTGCTGCTCTTGAAGACCTAAAAAAATTAATAAAATCTAAAAAAATTTTTAAGATAGTCTTCTAAAACTATTTCCAATATTTTGTGTCTGGTTTTCATTTTTCTTTATAACTGTGTGTGTATTCACTTGACTTAGGTATAACTGTGACTAAAGTCAGTCAGTTGAATCAACACTTCCATTTTTCTTTGGGTCTAGAATGAGTCTCTTGTAAGCAGCATATTGATGGGTCTTGTTTTTTTATTTTTATTTTTTAATTTTAATTTTATTTTTATTTATTTATTTGACAGAGAGAGAGACAGCAAAAGAGGGAACACAAGTAGGGGGAGTGGGAGAGGGAGAAGCAGGCTTCCCTCTGAGCAGGGAGCCCGATGTGGGGCTCTATCCCAGGACTGTGGGATCATGACCTGAGCTGAAGGTAGACGCTTAACGACTGAGCCACCCAGGTGCCCTGGGTCTTGTTTTTTTTTGAAGATTTTTTTTTTTGAGAGAGAGAATGAGAGACCGAGAGCACGAGAGGGAGAGGGAAGAGGATCAGAGGGAGAAGCAGACCCCTCCGCTGAGCAGGGACTCGATGTGGGACTCGATCCCGGGACTCCAGGATCATGACCTGAGCTGAAGGCAGTTGCTTAACCAACTGAGCCACCCAGGCGCCCCTTGGGTCTTGTTTTTTAATCCATTGTGATACCCTATGTCTTTTTTGATTGGAGCATTTAGTCCATTTACATTCAGAGCAATTATTGATAGATACAAATTTAGTGCCATTGTATTACCTGTAAAGTCACTGTTCCTGTAGATTGTCTCTGTTCCTTTCTATTCTTTGTTGGTTTTGGTCCTTTTCCTGCTCAAAGGGTCAAATATTTCTTGTAGGGCTGGTTTAGTGTTCGTGAACTTTGGTTTTTGCTTGTCTTGGAAACTCTTTATCTCTCTTTCTATTCAGAATGACAGCCTTGCTGGATAAAGTATTCTTGGCTGCATACTTTTCCCATTCAGCACGTTGAATGTTTCATGCCATTCTCTTCTGGCCTGCCAAGTTTCTGTGGACAGGTCTGCTGATAACCTTATGTGTCTATCCTTGTAGGCTGTGGACCTTTTGTCTCTAGCTGCTTACAGAATTCTCTTTTTATCTTTGTATTTTGCAAGTTTCACTATAATAGGTCTTGGTGTTGACCTGTTTTTGTTGATTTTGAGGGAAGTTCTTTATGCCCCTTGGACTTGATTGCCTGTTTCCTTCCCTAGATTATGGAAGTTCTCAGCTGTAATTTGTTCAAATAAACCTACCCCCTTTTCCCCGCTCTTCTGGGACTCCTGTGATGCAGATATTATTGTGCTTTGTGGAACTGCTGAGTTCCCTAAGTCTGTATTTGTGATCTAATAGTTTTCTTTCTCTCTTCTTTTTGGCTTCATTATTTTCCATTATTTTATCTTCTGTATCACCTGTTCTGCCCTTTGCTTCTTCCATCATTTTGATTACATCCAGTCAGTTTTGCATCTCAGTTATAGCATTTTTTATTTCAACCTGACTAGTTTTTATGTCTTTCAGAATACTAGCCCAGCTAGTATTCTTCTGACTGTTGTTCTAAATTCTTGTTCAGATATATTGCTTATCTCTGTTTTGAGGAAATTTCTGGCTGTGATTTCTTCTTGATCTTTCTTTTGGGGAGAATTTCTCTGTCTTGTCCTTATGTCTGGGCTTCTGTCTTTTGCGTTTTATGAAAGTTTGTTATGTTTCTTGCTCCTGAGAATAATACTACATTAAGAAGGGGTCCTACACTGTCTGGGGCCTGGCACTTCGGGAAGTGTTTCTGGTGTATGCTGTGTGCAGTCTGCTGTTGTGTTTTGGTTGCTCTTTGTTACAGGTCAGTCCTCTACAGAGTTCTTCCTTGCTTGCAGTGGGAGTGTTTGGACCTTTAACTAGGTGTGCTTTAATTTCTTTGTTAACATAAACCTGATTTAAAAAAAGAAAAAAAGCCTGATCCAAGAAAAGGAAAAGGAACATAAAAGCAAACAGACAAACAAAAAACCGTAAGCCTGATTCTAAAGAAAAAGAAAGAAGGAAAATAGAAAAAAAAGAAAAAAGCATGATCCAAACAATAAGAAAAGGAAACAAACCAACCAACACACAAAAAACTATAAGCCTCATTCCAAAGAAAAAAAAATAAAAGCCTGGTCCTATTTCCACCAGAACTGAAGCTGACTCTTTGGAGCACTCTGTGATCGGTAGACTTGCTACATGCAGGGGGCCTGTGTTGGTCTTCTCAGGGAGAGGCCTGCGGCACTGGCTCACGGTCAGACCTTCTGGAACAGAGGGGCAGGACTTGGTGTAAGTGACTCCAGCTTCCACCGGAGGCACTGTGTCTCTCTTAAGTTCGACAGTGCTGGTTTGGGGCGGGGGGTAGGGCAGGCAGGGGAGAGTGGAAGATGGCATAACCCTGCCCTCTTGTCCCCGGGAAAGGGAACTCGCAGGCACTGCTGTTCAGGAGGTCCTCCCAGAAAAGTGAATGATCTCCCCTCCTGTGTCCCAGGCTTTCCTCAGAGCCCTGCTCTCAGCCTGTCTGTGTCCTGCTGTCGGCACACCCGGCCCCACAGTTCTCCTGTGTTTTATCTCTGGCCAGCAGCTGGGATTCAGATGGCAAAGCACGGACCCACTCCCCTCCCCTGGAGGAGAGCCTTGCAGCACTGTGCCTGTCACCGTTCTGTTCCAGAGAAGCGGCTGCATGCCCGGGTAGCTGCGTGGAGTCTACGATGAAGCAGAATGAAGAGCTGAGACCAGGCTATGTGTCCTCTGCACGTGCCTCTATGGCCTGCTGCTGAATGGCTGCTCAGTGGTGCCCGGCAGGCCTTTTGTCCTTGGAGAGGCAAAATGTCCTCTTTTATTTATTTATTTATTTAAAAAGATTTTATGTTTCATTTGAGACAGAGATACACACACACACACACACACACACAGCAGGAGCAGGAGCAGGAGCAGAGGCAGAGGGAGAAGCAGACTCCTGCCGAGCAGGGAGCCCGATGCGGGGCTCGATCCCAGGACCTGGAGATCATGACCTGGGCCAAAGGCAGATGCTTAACCATCTGAGCCACCCAGGCGCCCCCAAAATGGCCTCTTCTACATGTACTCCAAGAAGGGGCGTGTTCTCTCCCGGTGTGACCCAGGGGATCCCCACACTGTGGCATTGTGTGTGAACCCTGCGTGCTGCTCTCCCTCTCCCTGATTTTGCTCTGTGAAAAGGGCTCTCTTCCCTGAGTGGCACCGCGGCTTTTCTCTCCCCCAGTTCACGTCTCAGAACCTCGCATCTGCCATGTCCTCTCCTTCCCATTG